TATGCACCATTCATAACATTTTTAGTATACAGTATTTTTAAATGTTTATACAGTAGCGTACTGTACGTATATTGTAATAAACAGAATAGAGGAAATCAGTTCTAATATACATTATTTAGGTATGCATGCTGGTCAGAGAGCCTGTCGCAAGTCCAAGTCGTCGGTAAATGAGTACGTCACTAAGTGAGGAGAGGATGTATTCACGTCGGTAGTTTCTCGTACTCTACTGGTTTCCAGTACCGGAGGCTGTTCCCCAAATACCATCGCAAGCAACCAGTTTACTTAATACAGTACCAGTTCACTCAATACAGGCTACCATTTCACCAGTACAGTACCACAACTGGCTGTCATTTCCCTATATCTAGAAGGGTAGTTCCCTCTGTATCTGGCGGCGGCGGTTCCTCCCTGTATCTGGCGGCGGCGGTTCCTCCCTGTATCTGGCGGCGGCGGTTCCTCCCTGTATCTGGCGGCGGCGGTTCCTCCCTGTATCTGGCGGCGGCGGTTCCTCCCTGTATCTGGCGGCGGCGGTTCCTCCCTGTATCTGGCGCGGCGGTTCCTCCTGTATCTGGCGGCGGCGGTTCCTCCCTGTATCTGGCGGCGGCGGTTCCTCCCTGTATCTGGCGGCGGCGGTTCCTCCCTGTATCTGGCGGCGGCGGTTCCTCCCTGTATCTGGCGGCGGCGGTTCCTCCCTGTATCTGGCGGCGGCGGTTCCTCCCTGTATCTGGCGGCGGCGGTTCCTCCCTGTATCTGGCGGCGGCGGTTCCTCCCTGTATCTGGCGGCGGCGGTTCCTCCCTGTATCTGGCGGCGGCGGTTCCTCCCTGTATCTGGCGGCGGCGGTTCCTCCCTGTATCTGGCGGCGGCGGTTCCTCCCTGTATCTGGCGGCGGCGGTTCCTCCCTGTATCTGGCGGCGGCGGTTCCTCCCTGTATCTGGCGGCGGCGGTTCCTCCCTGTATCTGGCGGCGGCGGTTCCTCCCTGTATCTGGCGGCGGCGGTTCCTCCCTGTATCTGGCGGCGGCGGTTCCTCCCTGTATCTGGCGGCGGCGGTTCCTCCCTGTATCTGGCGGCGGCGGTTCCTCCCTGTATCTGGCGGCGGCGGTTCCTCCCTGTATCTGGCGGCGGCGGTTCCTCCCTGTATCTGGCGGCGGCGGTTCCTCCCTGTATCTGGCGGCGGCGGTTCCTCCCTGTATCTGGCGGCGGCGGTTCCTCCCTGTATCTGGCGGCGGCGGTTCCTCCCTGTATCTGGCGGCGGCGGTTCCTCCCTGTATCTGGCGGCGGCGGTTCCTCCCTGTATCTGGCGGCGGCGGTTCCTCCCTGTATCTGGCGGCGGCGGTTCCTCCCTGTATCTGGCGGCGGCGGTTCCTCCCTGTATCTGGCGGCGGCGGTTCCTCCCTGTATCTGGCGGCGGCGGTTCCTCCCTGTATCTGGCGGCGGCGGTTCCTCCCTGTATCTGGCGGCGGCGGTTCCTCCCTGTATCTGGCGGCGGCGGTTCCTCCCTGTATCTGGCGGCGGCGGTTCCTCCCTGTATCTGGCGGCGGCGGTTCCTCCCTGTATCTGGCGGCGGCGGTTCCTCCCTGTATCTGGCGGCGGCGGTTCCTCCCTGTATCTGGCGGCGGCGGTTCCTCCCTGTATCTGGCGGCGGCGGTTCCTCCCTGTATCTGGCGGCGGCGGTTCCTCCCTGTATCTGGCGGCGGCGGTTCCTCCCTGTATCTGGCGGCGGCGGTTCCTCCCTGTATCTGGCGGCGGCGGTTCCTCCCTGTATCTGGCGGCGGCGGTTCCTCCTGTATCTGGCGGCGGCGGTTCCTCCCTGTATCTGGCGGCGGCGGTTCCTCCCTGTATCTGGCGGCGGCGGTTCCTCCCTGTATCTGGCGGCGGCGGTTCCTCCCTGTATCTGGCGGCGGCGGTTCCTCCCTGTATCTGGCGGCGGCGGTTCCTCCCTGTATCTGGCGGCGGCGGTTCCTCCCTGTATCTGGCGGCGGCGGTTCCTCCCTGTATCTGGCGGCGGCGGTTCCTCCCTGTATCTGGCGGCGGCGGTTCCTCCCTGTATCTGGCGGCGGCGGTTCCTCCCTGTATCTCTGGGGGCCCGATTGGGCGGCGGTTCCTCCCTGTATCTGGGAGCGGCGGTTCCTCCCTGTATCTGGCGGCGGCGGTTCCTCCTGTATCTGGCGGCGGCGGTTCCTCCCTGTATCTGGCGGCGGCGGTTCCTCCCTGTATCTGGCGGCGGCGGTTCCTCCCTGTATCTGGCAATGACGGTTCCTGTATCTGGCAACGACGGTTCCCCCGTATTTGGTGGCTTTGGTAACCCATATCTGACGGCGACGGATCCCCACATCTAGCGGCGGTGGTTACCCGTTCCGGGTGGCGGTGGTTACCCGTGTACCGGGTGGCGGGGGCGGTGGTTACCCGTGTACCGGGGACAGTTTTACCCGTGTACCGGGTGACAGGGCAGTTCCCCCGCGTCTGCCGGGGGCGGTTCCCCCCGCGTCTGCCGGGGCGGGTCCCCCCGCGTCTGCCGGGGGCGGGTCCCCCCGCGTCTGCCGGGGGCGGGTCCCCCCGCGTCTGCCGGGGGCGGGCCCCCCGCGTCTGCCGGGGGCGGGCCCCCCCGCGTCTGCCGGGGGCGGGCCTCCCCGCGTCTGCCGGGGGCGGGCCTCCCCGCGTCTGCCAGGGGCGGTTCCCCCGCGTCTGCCAGGGGCGGTTCCCCCGCGTCTGCCAGGGGCGGTTCCCACTGTATCTGGTGGGGGCGGTTCCCACTGTATCTGGTGGGGGCGGTTCCCACTGTATCTGGTGGGGGCGGTTCCCACTGTATCTGGTGGGGGCGGTTCCCACTGTATCTGGTGGGGGCGGTTCCCACTGTATCTGGTGGGGGCGGTTCCCACTGTATCTGGTGGGGGCGGTTCCCACTGTATCTGGTGGGGGCGGTTCCCACTGTATCTGGTGGGGGCGGTTCCCACTGTATCTGGTGGGGGCGGTTCCCACTGTATCTGGTGGGGGCGGTTCCCACTGTATCTGGTGGGGGCGGTTCCCACTGTATCTGGTGGGGGCGGTTCCCACTGTATCTGGTGGGGGCGGTTCCCACTGTATCTGGTGGGGGCGGTTCCCACTGTATCTGGTGGGGGCGGTTCCCACTGTATCTGGTGGGGGCGGTTCCCACTGTATCTGGTGGGGGCGGTTCCCACTGTATCTGGTGGGGGCGGTTCCCACTGTATCTGGTGGGGGCGGTTCCCACTGTATCTGGTGGGGGCGGTTCCCACTGTATCTGGTGGGGGCGGTTCCCACTGTATCTGGTGGGGCGGTTCCCACTGTATCTGGTGGGGGCGGTTCCCACTGTATCTGGTGGGGGCGGTTCCCACTGTATCTGGTGGGGGCGGTTCCCACTGTATCTGGTGGGGACAGTTCCCACTGTATCTGGTGGGGACAGTTCCCACTGTATCTGGAGGGGACAGTTCCCCCGATATCTGGAGGGAGAGGTTCCCCCTGGAAGGGGTGGTTGCCCCTGTATCTGGCAGCGGCAGTTACCCCTGTATCTGGCAGTGGTGGTTCCCCCCTATAACTGGTGGGGGTTACCCCTGTAACTGCCCCCACCATGTACAGGGCAGTGCTACACTGGCGAGGGCAGTGCCACACTGGCCGAGGGCAGTGCCACACTGGCCGAGGGCAGTGCCACACTGGCCGAGGGCAGTGCCACAGTCGTCAGAGCAGTTGCCTAGTGGTGAGGACAGTTGCCCAGTCTTCAGGTCAGTGCCACAGTGGTGAGAGCAGTACCCCAATCATCAGGGCAATGTCAGTCATGATGGCAGTGCCACAGTCGTGAGGGCAATGCCACAGTAACGAGGGCAGGTCCCCAGTTGTGTGGGCAGTTGCCCAGTCTTCAGGGCAGTGCCACAGTCGTCAGGGCAGTGCCACAGTAGGAAAAGCAACGCCAGTCGTGAGGGCAGCTGCCCTGTCTTCAGGGCAGTGCCAGTCAGTGCAGTGCCACAATAGTGAGGGCAATGCCACAGTCGTGTGGGCAGTTGCCCAGTTTTCAGGGCAGTGCCACAGTGACCAGGGCAGTGCCACAGTGACCAGGGCAGTGCCACAGTGGTGAGAGCAGTGCCAGTGACCAGGGCAGTGCCAGTGACCAGGGCAGTGCCACAGTGACCAGGGCAGTGCCACAGTGACCAGGGCAGTTGCCCAGTCTTTAAGGCAGTGCCCCAGTGGTGAGAGCAGTGCCACAGTGACCAGGGCAGTGCCCCAGTGGTGAGAGCAGTGCCACAGTGACCAGGGCAGTGCCAGTGACCAGGGCAGTGCCCCAGTGGTGAGAGCAGTGTCACAGTGACCAGGGCAGTGCCCCAGTGGTGAGAGCAGTGCCACAGTGACCAGGGCAGTGCCCCAGTGGTGAGAGCAGTGCCACAGTGACCAGGGCAGTGCCAGTGACCAGGGCAGTGCCCCAGTGGTGAGAGCAGTGCCACAGTGACTAGGGCAGTGCCCCAGTGGTGAGAGCAGTGCCACAGTGACCAGGGAAGTGCCAGTGACCAGGGCAGTGCCCCAGTGGTGAGAGCAGTGCCACAGTAACCAGGGCAGTGCCACAGTCGTGTGGGCAGTTGCCCAGTCTTCAGGGCAGTGCCACAGCAGCAACAAACTAGCGTGACCCCGCCCATATTGGTCAGTCAGGTGGTAATGGTAGTTCACCCGAGGCAGACACACACACACACACACTTACATATCCCCGCCTCTACACGGCCTACTCTCCGCTCTAGTAGTCCTACCTACACCTCACACCAACACTCAACACCAAGATACCCGGCTTACATGTCTGCTGGTGGGCTGGGGAGAGAGACACAAGGTCAAATGCAGAACAATTTGACAGTTGTTTCGTGTCTTGCTAGGTCGATCGATGCCACTGGTCAGCCTCCGAATATTCTCAAGTCGCTTTCCTACCAAGAAACTCCCGGTTATAGGCCTACCCCTGGCCTGGCCACACACACACAACCTCCAGTATGCTCAACTACACCCTCTACTTACATTTCGTGCGAGAGGGAGCGCCAAATTAAGTAATAGGGAGAGAAAAATGGCAGTTGTGGTGAAGGAAGTGTGCGCACTCGCCCGCCTCGACGCTGCTGATTGGTTCACTCTTCTCCCTCCCTAGTCAATACTACATTCTTACTCTTATTTCCAACCTTATATACATTATTTACTCCATTTTACCCACTTGTTACTTGCTGTAATTACTCTACTCTCTTCCCTTCGCTAATTCTATATTTATTCCGGTTATTAATGACATGTTCATTTCTTTTTTTTTTTCTTGCTAGGAGTTTCATAAATGAGAAATATTTAGTAATTAAGGGTCTTCATTAAATGTTTAAAATGATAATAACAAAGGTATAATTTTTATTAAAGATAATGGATAATAAATACGTGGTAAATATGTCGCCAACAACCCTCCATCATCACAAGAATATTACAATTATACCCAAAATTTTTATCATTCTAACCTAGATAATTCTTATTTTAAAATAAATTATTATTATATAAATTCTTATTATATAAATTCTTATATAAAATCGGGATTTATGGGTAAAAGAAATTTATTATGAGGTTGAAAAAATATTGATAGTTCGTATTGTTAGACTGAAATTCCCTCTAATATAAGAATCATTTATTTTAAAAGCATTATAGTTTACAAAATTATATATATATATATAATATATATTATATATATATAATATATATATATATATATATATATATATTATATATATATATATATATATATATATATATATATATATATATATATATATATATATATATATATATATATATATATATATGTATAATGTATATATATAAGGAGGAATTGTGGTTAAAATATGTTTAAGTAATAACCGTCCCTTAAAATTTAGACATAAATTCAATCTAAATTTACTTTTAAGCTTCACAAATATTCTAGTATTTAAAATTACTAAAGAAAATGATAATTTGTGAATAATAGAGGGAAGAATTGTGGTTAAAATAAAGATTAAAGCAATGTTTGTAACTTCAAATCTTACAAATAAATTCAATATAAATTTCTCACTTTTAGTGTTATAAAATATTGCAATATAACAAATTAGTAAAGAAAATAATAATGTGTAAATTACAGAGAGCGAAATTGTGGTTAAAATACAGCTTAAAGCAATGGGTGTCACTTCAATTCTTAGAAATAAATTCAATCTAAATCCATATTTCCAGCGTAATAAAATATTACAGTACAAGAATTAGCAAATAAAATAATAATAAATTAATAAAAATTGGATGAAATAATGTGTTATTGTGGATATAAGTATAGTGTGTGTTAGGGCGAGGCTGGAGCACCTCTCTCTCTCTCTCACTCAGCAACACCGTCAACATGACATCGGTGAGTCGTTCTTCTCTCCTTATTTACTATATTAAGGCCTTCGATGTACCTCTCTGGGCAGCGCTGTGCGGCCCTTGTGGGTTTAGCGCTTAGTTATGATTGTAGGAGTGGTAACTGTAGCCTTCTCTTGCCCTTAAACTCGTATATATAAGAGCATCATGGGGTCTTGATGCTGCCATGTGTTGTTCAGTGATGGTGGGACCTGGTATATATATTTACGTAGGTACACGAATTATCAGACTAGTAATGTGTAAAATGCCTAGGATAACCCCCTTTAAAAAGGTCAATTGACTAATTTGCATTGGTGTCCGTGTAGATACGTGAGTTCCTATGAGTTGATGAGCAAGACACGTGTCCAACACTTGAGTCTTATGATTGTGGGAAAGCTTCACCACAGTGCCCCTCAAGGAACGTTCCTTGATGTTGGTGAGGGGCTCTTGATTTAGGGAATTGGATCTGTGCTCCAGTTCCCCGAATTAAGCCTGAATGCCTTCCACATCCCCCCCCCAGGCGCTGTATAATCCTCCGGGTTTAGCGCTTCCCCTTGATTATAATTATTCACCACAGTGGCTTCATCAGTCCAGTACACAAGAATGGTGAAGATCAGGAGGAGTTTGAGGTAATCAGGCCCCTCAAGGGAGGTTCCTTGATGCTGGTGAGGGGCACTTGATCTAAGGAATTGGATCTGTGCTCCGGTTCCCTGAATTAAGCCTGAATACCTCCCCCACAGGCGCTGTGTAACCCTACGGGTTTAGCGCTTCCCCATGTTTATAACAATTGAGGTAATCAGTCCCTCAGCCTCCAGGTAGGAGTCTACTCCAGCCTGAGGGACTGATAACCTCAAACTACTCCTGATTGTCACACTTTTGATAAGCAATCCTGAATCGTATTAAGAAAGTTGCTTGAATCTAAATTTCCTGTCAAATTGCCTCGGTCAATTTGTCTAAATTTAAAATCTCCCATTAGCACATTTTCGTATGTAGATGCCTTACGAATTTCTTCCCACAGAAGTTTACTGCACTCCTTATCAAGGTTTGGGGGCCTATATATCACACCCAAGATTAATTTTTCACGGCCCTCGGGAAGCTGAAACCAGATTGAGTGGCTGATGCTGTTAATTTTATACCTTGTCTAACACAATTTAAATTATCTCTGACATACATCACTAATCCACCACCTTTCCTGTTGACCCTATCAGTGTGGAATAATTTATAGCCTTGTATGTGGCATTCAGAAGGCATATCTCTATCTTTCAGATTGAGCCAGGTCTCTTGTTATAGCAATAATATCTATGCTTCCTGCACTTGCAATTAATCTTAGCCTATCTTATTTCTTACACTCCTGCTATTAACATAGTAAACCTTAAGGGAGCTAGTCTCATGCTGCCCTTTGCTGTCTCCCTTTGCTGACCTGACCCTAGTGCTGCAACCTGACTGTTTCCCACACACACCCATACCTCTTATCTTCTGTCAGTCAGCAATGGCCCCCTCAATCGAGTTGGTATATTTGACATAGAAATTGGACTAGTTGTCAATGAATGGGGGTGCAGGTTCTTTGCAGTAAATCTAATTTTTATTCAGTTTTTAACCCATTGCTGCAAGTCATGTTGTGATTAGATATTTTCATCACATTATACCCTTCAAGTTAATAGAAGACCTCTGATTGGTTTTAAACTTTCATCACTGGTGCATTTTCTTTGAAGGAATTTTTGCAGTGTAAGTCACAGTTTGCTCAAATTGGTATAATGGTTTGTGTGACAGATGGAAAATGCATCCATTGATCATCTTCAAGCCTTACCTAAAACAATGTTTGCAATTCCTGGTCCTCGTAAGTGACTTATGGATGTGGAGATATGTACCATTCTTGGGTTGCAGAGCAACTGAAGTACATGTATATCTAATTGGCAGGTGCTGGTTTGGCAGTAATGTTGATAAGTGGTATGTCTAAAGTGGCTCAGTAAACCTATTGCAGTGATGCTCAGGCTTTAACTTAAGAAAGCAAAAGCACTACAGCAGGCTTGATGGCCCATGCAAGGCAGGTCCAAGTCACCCACTGGCACAAGCCAGTCGGGTCCAACTCTCACCCACTCATGTACTTGTCTAACTTACTTTAAAAGTACCCAACATTTTAGCTTCAGTGATGTTACTAGCTTGTGCTAATAGGTCTGATGCAGTGTTCCTTAAGTTCAGACCAGTGCTTTCGTATATCTTTCTAAATCCAAATTTTTCCATCTTGAACCCATTGCTGAGAGTTCTGTCTTGGTTAGATATTTTTACCACGATATTTACATCCCCTTTATTTATTCCTGCTTTTATGTAAAGGCTCTTTAAATTAAATTTGACATGATGCTATATCCCATTACATAGGCAGTGGCACTGCAGACAAAATTTCATCACCCACTTGACTGATCGACTGCTCTTAAATATTTTCAGTATTGTTTAAGGAAATAGATAATTTATATTTGTTTTATACTCCCAGGTAAAGTCTTCAGCAAAGAAGCCGCAGGCGAAGACCATGGGTAAGTCCACGGCAAAATCTGCGGATAAGGCCAAAGCAAAGCCCACGGATAAGGCCAAAGCAAAGCTCACAGAAGCCAAAGCAAAGCCTGCAGCGGCCAAAGCAAAGCCTGCAGAGGCCAAAGCAAAGCCTGCAGAGGCCAAAGCGAAGCCTGCAGAGGTCAAAGCAAAGCCTGCTGCAGATAAGGCCAAAGCAAAGCCTGCTGCAGATAAGGCCAAAGCAAAGCCTGCTGCAGATAAGGTCAAAGCAAAGCCTGCTGCAGATAAGGCCAAAGCAAAGCCTGCTGCAGATAAAGCCAAAGCAAAGCCTGCTGCAGATAAGGCCAAAGCAAAGCCTGCTGCAGATAAGGCCAAAGCACAGCCTGCTGCAGATAAGGTCAAGACAGAAAAGGTCAAGACAGAGAAGGTCAGGACAAAGGCCTCAGAAAAGATCAAAACAAAGTTCACAGCTAAGACCACAACCAAGGCCGCTGGTGGCAAGAAGCCCCTAAAGCCACGTGCCCAGATGAAGAAGAGCTTAGTTGCCAGGGGAAAGATTACCAAGGGTCGTCGTGCCAAGAAACTACAGCTTAAGTTCCACATAGACTGCCGTCAGCCCGTGGAGGATGGAATCATGAATGCTGCAGACTTTGTAAGTGTCTTTACGTAATTCTCATCTTAATTACATTTACATATATATAATTTTGGTGCTTTGAATTATCTAATTTTTGTTGCATACATTTAATATGACCTATAGAACTGTATATTACTCCATTACATAATTGGGAAACCTCTCACTAATCAGACTAATAGAGGGAAGGGGTGTACAATATTGCCGATTGTCTGCTGCTCCCAAATTGCAAAACGAATATCTCTTGATTGTTTAATTGTAGACTGTAGTAGTGGACTTGGTCTCCTATTGCAGAAGACAATCGATTACTAAGAATATGGTTATTGTAACCTGTAATACTACAGGTAAGAAGAATTACATGAAGTATTAGAACCTGTATGGTAATTATATAATTACATAATTTACAGCACCCACCCTAGTACAAACACCGCACATGATAAATTTACTTTATTAATTTTTTCATTACATACCCCCACCCTTTATTTCTATGCTTAATATAATACCCAGATTGTTAAGCTAATTATATAATGTGATTCTTCAACCTTAAATAGCCAAACTGTTGATCATATGGTTTAAAAAAAAAACTCAACTGGTAGAGACTAAATCTCAGGTTTATCACATCAAAGCTAGGTTAAGTCAACTAATTTTCTTTCTGAACTAGTTAGATCAATCATTTTATTTTGTTGGCTGATGTTAACAACTGCTGATGTGCTAATGTCTGGGGCAGATTTCAATTTATAGTTTGTGAACTGCATTGTCTTGGTTTAGTTTTTGTATAGTTGATGACTATTGAGATTTGCTTCTGCTTAAATACATGTATTAAGTTTGGGTTTCACTTGTTAACTGGCACTAATAGAACAATAGCTAGGGTGACCTTCCCTAGTTGGTTGCTAGTAGGGCCAACTTCCCTACAGTGCCAAACGGTTGTTCTGTCTTGCAGGAGACATTTTTGCAGCAGCGTATAAAGGTTAATGGCAAGGTCAACAATTTCTCCAATCAAGTGTCATTGGAACGAAATAAGCACAAGATCACGCTTAATGCAGATATTTCCTTCTCCAAAAGGTGTGTATATATATATATATATATATATTTTTTTTTTTTTTTTAATGAAAGCCAGGTTTTTGTTCTGTATATTGACACAAAAAAAAAAAAACTCAACTGGGAGTATAAGTGGAAGATGGGTATCAATAAAGGGGATATAAATAAGGTCTTGAGGATATCTCTCCAAGAGAAAATCCGCAGTAATGGATTCAAATTAGACAGGTTTAGATTTAGAAAGGAGATAGAAAAGTATTGGTTTGGAAATAGGGTAGTTGATGAGTGGAACAGTCTGCTTAGTAGGGTTATCGAGGCTAAAACCTTGGGTAGTTTCAAATTTAGGTTGGATAAATACACGAGTGAGAGGGGTTGGATTTGAGTGGGACTTGCAAATAGGTAAACAATTATCAAAGCTTATTCCTTGGGTAGCATTGAAAATTGGGTTGGGCAAATATTTTGTTAGTGGGATGGATTGTGAGGGACCTGCCTAGTATGGGCCAACAGTCCTGCAACAGTGTTCCTTTCTTATGTACATGGATAAAGTTAATATATGGCACTGGAATATACACAAGGCTCAGTTTTATCTGGCATGTAAGAAAGAAGCAGTATGTGTGTAATAATAAAAAAAAAACTTAGAAATTGCTTCAACTGCTTTGAAGTTCATGGACATATCCAAATGATTATCAGTGAAAATATTGGCAGGTTTAACAACAGGAAGTGGTAACTGTTGAAAGGTGTTAAATAAGAAGGCTATGATTTAACCTTTGAAAGTACAGTGGACCCCCGCTTTACGATCACCTCCCAGTGCGACCAATTATGTAAGTGCGTTTGTACGTGTATGTTTGGGGGTCTGAAATGGACTAATCTAATTCACAATATTCCTTATGGGAACAAATTTGTTCAGTACTGGCACCTGAACATACTTCTGGAATGAAATGTCGTAAACCGGGGGTCCACTGTATTTTAGTAGAATTCTGGCTAATATTTCCAAAATGATGAAGCTACCTGAAAGGGCACTTGTTAAATCTTTAATTGCCATTTCAGATGCCATTAAACCAAAAAAAAAATAGCTTTATCGTTTCAGAGGTACTAGCCAGAATTCTACTCAAAACAATAAACCCTTGCTATCATAGGAACCTATAGCTACCTCCAGTATAACTTATACAGGCTCTTACCACCTAGCGACGTACTAGTTTACCGACCACTCGAACTTCCAACCAGATTTTGGGAAATGTTGAGTGAGTGCGTGGGGAGTTTTGAACCAAGTGTGAGGGTACTTGTCGTTGAGGATTTCAATGCTAAAGTGGGTAAAAATGTTGTGGAGAGGGAGTAGTGGGTAAATTTGGGGTGCCAGGGGTAAATGAAAATGGGGAGCCTTTAATTGAGCTATGTGTAGAAAGAGGTTTAGTAATAAGTAATACATATTTTATGAAGAAGAGGATTAAATATACAAGGTATGATGAAAGTAGTTAGATTTTGAATTGGTGGATACAAGATTGATGGATAGGCTTCAGGATGTACATGTTTATAGAGGGGCAACTGATATATCTGATCATTATTTAGTTGTAGCTACAGATAGAGTAAGAGGCGGATGGGACGAACAGAAAATGGCAACAGCAAGTAAGAGAGGTGAAAGTGTATAAACTAAGGGAGGGGGGAGTCAGATACTATAAGCAACTATTGGCAGAAAGGTGGGCTAGTGCAAGTATGAGTAGTGGGGGGGTTGAAGAGGGTTGGAGTAGTTCTAGAAATGTAGTACATGTATTAGAATGTAGGGCAGAAGTTTGTGGCTATAGGAGGGTGGGTGCAGGAGGAAAGAGGAGTGATTGGTGGAATGATGAAGTAAAGGGTGTGATAAAAGAGAGAAAGGTAGCTTATGATAGGTTTTTACAAAGCAGAAGTGTCATAAGAAAAGCAGAGTATATGGAGAGTAAAAGAAAGGTAAGGAGAGTGCAAAAGGAGGGCAGATGATAGAGTGGGAGAGGCACTGTCAAGAAATTTTGATGAAAAGAAAAAAATTTAGAGTGAGATGAACAAGTTAAGAAAGCCTAGGGAATGAATGTATTTCAGTTAAAAACAGAGTAAGGGAGTTGGTACATGGGAAGCTGGAGGTATTGGGTAGATGGCTGGAATATTTTGAGGAACTTTTGTATGTCAATGAAGAAAGGGAGGTGGTAATTTCATGCACTGGCCAGGGAGGTATGACATCTTTTAGGAGTGAAGAAGAGCAGGATGTTAGTGTGGGGGAGGTGCGTGAGGCATTACGTAGAAGGAAAAGGGGTAAAGCAGCTGAGGCTCAGGTTAGGGTGTGTAGAAGAGAGGGAGACTACTTCCTGGTAAAAGTAGGTCTTAGACAGGGATGTGTAATGTCACCGTGGTTATTTAATATATAGATGGGGTTGTAAAAGAAGTAAATGTTAGGGAGAGGGGTGGGATTAAATTATGGGGAATCAAATACAAAATGGGAGTTGACAGTTACTTTTTGCTGAAGATACTGTGTTTATGGGAGATTCTAAAGAAAAAGTTGCAAAGGTTAGTGGACGAGTTTGGGAAGGTGTGAAAAGGTAGAAAGTTGAAAATGAACATAGATAATAGTAGTGATGAGGATATTAAATGATTTACATCAAGAAAAATTGGATATCACAATGGAGAGAGGGAGAATGGAAGAAGTAATGTTTTCAGGTACGTATTTGGGAGTTGACGTGTCAGTGGATGGGTTTATGAAGAATGAGGTTAACCATAGAATTGATGATGGAGAAAAAGGTGAATGGTGCATTGAGGTACACTGTATATGTGGAGACAAAAAACATTATCTATGGAGGCAAAGAAGGGAATGTATGAAAGTATAGTGGTACCAACACTTATATGGGTGTGAAGCTTGGGTTGTAAATGCTGCAGCGAGGAGGGGGTCGGTGGCAGTGGAGATGTGTCTAAGAGCAATGTGTGGTATACATATTATGTAGAGAATTCTGAGTGTGGAAATTGGGAGATGTGGAGTTAATAAAAGTATTAGTCAGAGGGCTGAAGAGTGGTTGTTAGGGTGGTTTGGTCATTTAGAGAGAATGGATCAAAGTAGAATGACTTGGAGAGCATATAAATCTGTAGGGGAAGGAAGGCGGGGTAGGGGTCATCCTCAAAAATGTTGGAGGGAGGGGGGTAAAGGAGGTTTTGGGGGCGAGGGGCTTGGACTTCCAGGAAGCGTGTTAGATAGGAGTGAATGGAGACAAATTGGTTTTGGGGCCTGACGAGCTGTTGGAGTGTGAGCAGGGTAATATTTAGTGAAGAGATTCAGGAAAACCAGTTATTTTTACATAGTCAGACCTGAGTACTGAAAATGGGAAGTACAATGTTTGCACTTTCAAGGAGGGGTTTGGGATATTGGCAGTTTGGAGGGATGTTGTATATCTTTATATATGCTTTTAAACTGTTGTATCTGGGCGCCTCTGCAAAGACAGTGATTATGTATGAGTGAGGTGAAAGTGTTGAATGATACACAAATAACCCGCACATAAAAGAGAGAAGCTTACGACGACGTTTCGGTCCGACTTGGACCATTGACAAAGTCACTTTGTCAATGGTCCAAGTCGGACCGAAACGTCGTCGTAAGCTTCTCTCTTTTATGTGCGGGTTATTTGTGTGTCGTTCCAGTCACGGTATTGTGCCTTTTTGTTATTTATTTGTGTTGAATGATGAAAGTATTTCCTTTTTGGGTCATCCTGCCTCGGTTGGAGACAGCGGACTTGTTGGGAAAAAAAAAATAATGTATATTAGAGCTGATTTCCTCTGTTCTATTTATTACAGTAAACTACTGTGTGAACATTTTAAAAATACAGTGGACCTCCGGTTTTCAGCCAGTGCAGAAATTGAACACCTTTTTTTCAGTGAAATTTTACCCCCAGATTTTGTGCATCCGCTCGGAAATCATTGGTGCCACACGTATTCACCTGGGCCGTTCATATGTTCGTGACTCACTCTTTGGCACATTAAATGTCTTATTTTAGGTTAATATAGACACTTTTATTAATCCATCTGTGATATTTTCTTCAAAATTAAGAAGAAACACATTACATAGCATATAAACATGCCTTTGTTACTCTTTCACCAAGAGTTTCCCTCTAGTCTTACGCCATAGTTATAATACTAATAGTATGTAATAATAATCACTCGTGGGCCCACTAAATGTCTTATTTTACTTTAATATAGACACTTTCATTAATCCATCAATGTTATTTTCTTCAAAATTATATAAGAAACACGTTATTATAGTATGTATATAAAAACATCCAATGTTTATATGCGATGTATGTTTAATAAAAAAAAATCACTCTTGAGCACATTAAATGTCTTACTTTAGGTTAATATAGACATTTACATTAATTCATCTGATATTTTCAAAATTATATAAGAAACATTACATAGCATATAGCATATCAACATGCAATGTTTATATGCTATTGAGTGATGAGTCTGGTGGAGGGTAAACATTGTTTTCTCTGGTCAAGCGTTTGAGAAAACCGTGAATCTGGCGTCAAACCCACTACCAGTATAGTATGCTTCTCATTTAACGACCAATTCTCTTACTGGCCTACTCTTAGGAACGGAACCCCGTTGTTAAGTGGGGAGAGGCTGAATTTTTAAATTCTCGGTAGAGAAGGTACATCAAAAGTCTAAGTTGTATTTAAAAATCTTGATACAGTAAAAAAAAAAATAAGAAAGTAAGTCTCCTAAATGTTAAATACTTGCTAATGCATTGTCCTTGTACCCCATCTACAGGTCCTCACCACTTGATTGAAAACTCCCCAAACACACTTTTTGTCTCAAAATCTTTCCTCTGCATTCCTTTCATCTCCACATACACAACACTTAGTATAATTCACTTTCCACATTCAACCCTTATTTTAATCCACACAATCCTTGAATTTATGCATTTATATTCCTCCTTTTCCTTCCATAACTGATCAGTTTGTAAACCTACACATTTTTGCCAGATACCTGAAGTACCTGACGAAGAAATATCTCAAGAAGAATAACCTTCGTGATTGGCTGAGAGTGGTGGCACCCCCCACTGCCAAGGACACCTACGAGCTCAGGTACTTCCAGATCAACAATGAGGAAGAAGATGACGATGATGGTGACGAGTAAATCACAGCTCAATAAAATGTGAAGTTTATTTCGCCTTTCATTTACTACTGTGAATAGGCATGTTTTTTCCTTTTATTACAGATGTTAATTTCAATGGATAGTGACATTTAAAGCATCTAGTTTTACCTAGTAAAAAGCTGTTTAAAAGTATAATGTATCATGTACTTCCATGTTTTAAATTTCATAACCAATTACCCAGAAACTGGCATCTCTAAAGTGCTACATAACCTTTGTGACACATGGGATTGTGATTTTTATTGTTAAGTATGGGACTCGCTTCCCATGATTAGTAAAAAAAAAAAAAAAAAAGGTATGGGACTACCAAATTTTTTGCAGATACTATTAAAAAATGGCTGACGGTAACTTTAGCACATCTCTGCTTAAGTATACTGCCTTTGACAACTTTTGGAGTGTAGAGAGAGAGAGAGGCAGTTCAGCCTGGGCGAGGCTTGTCTAAAATGCCTTTGTTCCTGTAAGCACCATTATTGCTGTGGGTTTAGCACTCCCTGTGAGAAGGTTCTCGATCTGATGAATTGGGCCTCTTGCCTTTTTTCCTCATGTTTAAATGCCTCCTACCCTCTCCGGTCATCCTTTGGAGATATGCCTTTGTAAATTAGGCTGGAGGCTGCCGAAAGGTTGGGCTTATGACGGAGGTCCCTCCCCTTGGGATCAAACATAACCTCACAGACAGCATAAACTAGGGTTTAGTGCTTCCCCGTGAATGTTATGCTCAGCCTTCCTTTCAAGTGAGGTTCTGTGCTGCTGGTCCTCCCCTCAAGGAAGGTTCCTTGATGTTGGTGAGGGGCTCTTGATTTAGGGAATTGGATCTGTGCTCCAGTTCCCCGAATTAAGCCTGAATGCCTTCCACATCCCCCCCCCCCCAGGCGCTGTATAATCCTCCGGGTTTAGCGCTTCCCCCTTGATTATAATAATGTGCTGCTGGTGGTAGCGCTGTATGACCCTTATGCGTTTAGAGCTTAAGTTTATTCAGGTATACACAAATAGTTGCATACTTATCATACGTAGCATGTGTAAAAAACCTAGGATAACCCAAAAAGAAAAGTCTGACAAGTCCATGCACTATAACTATGATTCCTGCCCCTCAGGGAAGGTTCCTAGATGCTGGTGAGGGACTTGATCTAGGGAATTTGATCTGCTCCAGTTCCCTGAATTGAGCCTGAATGCCCCTCAAGGAAGGTTCCTTGATGGTGAGGGGCTCTTGATTTAGGGAGTTGGATCTGTGCTCCAGTTCCCTGAATTAAGCCTGAATGCCTTCCATCCCCCCATAGGCGCTGTATAATCCTACGGGTTTAGTGCTTCCCCCTTGATTATTATAATAATACTCCCCACCCACAAGTGCTGTATATTCTACGGGTTTAGCGCTCCCCCTGGTTATAATCCCCTCGCTAGTATCGAGGTACCTCCCTTAAAAGGAGAGGTAATGTATTAAAATAAAAAAAACACGATGCTATAGCCCTTGTGTGCTGTATAGTCCTTGTGGCTTAGCGCTTCTTTTTTTATTATAATAATAATATCCCTTGTGCCTTAGCGCTTTTTTGATTATAATAAATATGGTACTACCTCCACAGTTGATGTTGGTGAGGGGCTCTTGATTTAGGGAATTGGAACTGCTCCAGTTCCCCGAATTAAGCCTGAATGCCTTCCACATCCCCCCCCCCAGGCGCTGTATAATCCTCCGGGTTTAGTGCTTCCCCCTTGATTATAATACCTCCACAGGTGGCCTGGTGGCTAAAGCTCCCGCTTCACACACGGAGGGCCCGGGTTCGATTCCCGGCGGGTGGAAACATTTCGACACGTTTCCTTACACCTGTTGTCCTGTTCACCTAGCAGCAAATAGGTACCTGGGTGTTAGTCCACTGGTGTGGGTCGCATCCTGGGGGACAAGATTAAGGACCCCAATGGAAATAAGTTAGACAGTCCTCGATGACGCACTGACTTTCTTGGGTTATCCTGGGTGGCTAACCCTCCGGGGTTAAAAATCCGAACGAAATCTTATCTTAGAAAGACTTCCATGCTATTGAATGTTACGAGAGGTTAAGTAAAGTTCGTCAACCTCTTCAAGGGGGGCTCCTTGGCGTGGTGAAGAGGCTCTTGGTCTGAGGAATTAGACCTGTCGGTTTTCTTCCTCAGACCAAACCTAATTACCCCCAATCTCCCCTCCCCTTTTTCCTTTCCTCCTCCTCCTCCCCACCCCTCCCTTTTGCCCTTCCTCTTTTCGGCCTTTGGGATTTCTCCCACAGGCGCGCTAGTTCCTAGGTAGGGGAAAGGATACCGGGGTCCATCCCATTCCGTTGAGGTTCTTGGCGGTGGCGTAGTTTGCCGTGGAATCTGGATCGCCTGGGGATGTCCCGATCCCTCTCCGGTATCCCGGAGTAGCTTTGGGTGTCTTTCGGGCGACGGGTGTATCTCTGGAAGCCACCTTTCGGATTCCAGGGGTGGTGGCCGAAGGTGGTATGCTTTGTGGCGGATATCCGGCCGCCCTCTCTTTTGTCCACCGAGGTAGCTCAGCAGATGTGAGGTTGCTATCCCGGATTGTTAGTTTACTAGCATGATGGGTAGGGTATGGCACGGGTTTTCCATGCTGCATCTGCGCTACTTGCGGTGCTGAGGTCCTCTTGGGCGCGGAGGGAGATTTCTGGCCCTTTCATTCCTCCTAGGAACTATCCCTCCCCGGTCCCCCTTTTTTTTTTATTCTTTTTTTTTATTTTTATTTTCTTTTCTTCTTTTTTTTTTCTTAAAAACAAAAAGAAAGAAGTAACCTAACCATGGCAGCCCTAGTCCATGAACCTCCTACCCCCGGGCCCCTTCTTGATACCGCACCCCGTTCTGACCCCGCCTCGTCTTTGGACCACTCTTCAGACACTCCTCATGCCTCTTTTACCTCTTGCCGGTGCTGTTTCCTCACCCGCTTCAGGTACTGAGGCCTCGACTGACTCCTTCGATTTATCGGACCTTCGCTCTCCTCTGACTATGCTTCCGGCCTCTCCCTCTATGGTGCGGCAATTTTAAAATCGCTGACCCGTTCCACGTCGGACCAACTCTGGTCCCACGCCTAAACTCCAACGACAATTACCTGCTGATGATACTTCTCCACCTTCTCGTTCTTCTCAGAAACGATCGACACGTCCTTCACTCCCTTTTCCCACGCTCAGTTTCAGACTGAACAATGGACTAAATTCTTCACTTTACGACCGACTTCCTCTACTGCCTATCTTTCTGACCACAGTATTGGCAAGGCACTCCTACGCCATGTTGGTAAAGATATTTCTTTTCATGCTCTTAAGAGCGGTACACGCATCATCACCGTACAGAATGCTACCCAGGCTCATGAGCTCTCTCGTCTTTCCCATATCGATTCTGTTCCTGTCACTCTTGAAAAACATCATTCCCTCAATTCTTGTAGTGGTACCGTCATTCTGCCCCATACCATAGTTCAACAAAATTTCCAGACATGTGGCACTGACATTCTTGAACAGCTGGAACTCCAAGATCTCCCAATCCTCAAGGTAGACACTTACATTCTTCCTGCCCGCGGGCGGAGACGATACCCTAGCAATGTGGCTCGTTTAACTTTTGACAGCCGAGAACTCCCATCCTCAGTTTATATAGCAGGACATCGGTTACAAGTCCGAAAGGTGATCCCTACACCGCAACAGTGTAGAAATTGCTGGCGATTTGGCCATCCAGCGAAATATTGCAGATCTATCGCCGAATGCCCAGTCTGTGGTGCCGATGACCCTTCTCATACGTCTTGCAATCGATCTCCCTCTTGCCTTAACTGTCATGAGGCTCACCCTTCATACTCTCGCCGTTGTCAAGTCTATTTAAATGAGCGGGAAATCCGTTACCTCAAAGAGACAGAAGGTCTCCCTTATGCCATGGCAGTTTCTCATCTCCGCCTCCAAGGGAGACTCCCACGTGTTTCTTATTCCCGTGTTTCAAACGTCCCCCCCACTTCTGGTTTATCCCATCTTCTACACCCACCTCTGTGGTTACCTCTCCCATAGTCACTCCTGTATCTAATCCTTTTGCTGTCCTCGGCTCAGACGTCCCTACTTCAACGCCTCAGTCTGATCTTGCTTCTTTGTGTTCTCTCTCACAAGCCTCAGTAACGACGAGATCTCGTATGACACCTCCTCCCAATCGTCCCTCTACTTCTCAAAAGTCAAAAAAAGGTCCGTTAACACCGCCTACCCATCTTCCACCTCATTTTACCCTCCCTGTCTCTGTCCCTGGTTCTCCCCCTCTCACTGGCTCTGTTACAAGTGTAGAGGTTCACCCTCCTCCTCGTACTGTACCTTCCTCCCCTGTTCCCTCCCAGGTTTCTTCCTCTTCTGCACCTCCCAGGTTTCTGCCTCTTCTGTCCCCTTCCACGCTTCTCCAGTTCCTCCACCCTTTTGCCCCCCCCCTACCTTGGTACAGTCCCAATACCCGTTCCAATCTTTACTCATCCTCCCCCTACCATTTCCAATATTGTCTCCCATACGACGTCTCTGAATTCCGAAACACTTGAAGCAATCTCTGAATATATTGCAGAGACCAAACCATCAATGGACACTGATCCACCCTCTGCTCCTTCTCTCTCCTCTCCTCCATCTGCGCAACTCCTTTCTTCACAGCGCACCATTCCTTCGCTGCTTGAACGTTTTCCACTGCCTCCGCATGTGGACTTTTCTAACCCCTCTAGTCTGTAGGAACCCTTACCTTCGGATTTCAAGTATCTTTATCATTGCCAATCATGGCCTATTTACAGTGGAATATAGGCGGCCTCAGGGGTTATCGGAGTCAGCTTCAGATGTTACTCTCCCAGTTTGCCCCTGTTGGTGTTTGCTTACAGGAACCAAAATTACACTCTGCTGTTATCTCTCCCATCTCAGGCTATAATTTATTGTATTCTTCAGATCCTTTTCCTGATGGGACCTTTAATGAAAGTGCCCTTCTTCTACGCACTGATATTCCGTACCATCAGCTATTTGTTCATACCTCGCTGCATTACACAGCAGCCCGTATCCACTTGCATAGGTGGTATACGCTCTGTTCTTTATATCTCTCTCCTTCTCGGGCATTATCTATTCCGGATATTGCCTTTCTTGTTTTGTCATTACCGCCACCGATTCTGTTACTTGGTGATTTTAATGCCCACCATTTCCTCTGGGGGGGGTCTCACTGTGATTCCGTGGAATTCAGTTAGAGGCTTTTCTTGCCACCCACCCCCTCCATGTTTTAAATACAGGTACACACACCCATTTTGATCCTCGGACTCATACTCTCTCTTGCATCGATCTCTCAGTCTGCTCTTCCTCCACCGCATTAGACTTCACTTGGTCTGTTCTCCCGGACTTACATGACAGCGATCATTTCCCAATCATTCTTACTTCCCCTTCATATTCACCACCTCTTCGCATCCCACGCTGGCAATTTGATCGGGCAAATTGGAACCTTTACTCACCTAACTGTTTTTAGAGAGGTTCCTTCTTCGTCCTCCATCGATGAGCTTTTACACCTCTTCTCGTCCTCCGTTTTAACCGCAGCTTCTCATTCTATACCCCAAACTTCGGGCAGGCATTCTCAGAAATGCGTGCCTTGGTGGTCTCCTGCTTGTGCTCGTGCAGTACGTTTGAAACGCGCTGCATGGGGCAGGTACCAGTACAATAGAACCACAGAGAGACTCCTTGATTTTAAACAGAAGCATGCGATCGCTCGCCGTGTCATCCATGACGCTAAATGCACTTGCTGGCGAGATTATGTCTCCACCATCACCTCTGCTTCCTCTATGAGTGCAGTCTGGAAAAAAGTACGAAAACTGAGTGGTAAATATTCTCCTGACCCGGCTCCTGTTCTGCGGGTTGCCGGTGTTGATATAGCAAACCCACTAGATGTTGCCAATAAAATTGGCAATCATCTTGTCCGTATTTCTCAGGGACTCCATCTATGCCCCTCATTTCTTTCCTCAAAGTCTGCCAGAGAGTTAGCACCCTTGGACTTTTCTTCTCTCAGAAAAGAACAGTATAATGTGCCTTTTACACTTCAAGAACTGGAGGCAACACTCTCAGCTTGCTGATCATCGGCAGCTGGGCCCGACGACATTCATATTCGTATGCTACAACATTTACATCAGTCAGCCCTTGCAGTCCTATTACGCCTTTTCAATCTTATTTGGTCACAAGGAGTTCTTCCACAGCTGTGGAAATCCACCATTGTTCTCCCTTTCCTCAAACCAGGCACTACGGGACATGAAACCTCCCACTATCGTCCCATTGCTCTTACCAGTGCAGTTTGCAAAGTAATGGAATGCAAGCTGAAGGTGTCCCCCAGGGATGTGTTCTGAGCACAACACTTTTTCTCCTTGCTATTAATGATTTGGCCTCTAGTCTTCCATCAAATATTTGGTCATCACTCTATGTTGATGACTTCGCTATTGCCTGTGCAGGTGCTGACTGTCACCTCATTACAGTTTCTCTCCAACATGCAGTCGACCGTGTTTCCAATTGGGCCACCACACGTGGGTTTAAATTTTCCAGCACTAAAACCCACCAAATTACTTTCACTAGACGCTCTGTCATCTCCGATCATCCTTTGTACCTCTATGGCTCCCGTATCCCTGAATGTGATACAGTCAAGTTTCTGGGCCTCCTCTTTGATCGTAGGTTATCCTGGAAAAACCCCACATTACCTCTCTGAAGGGGAACTTGTCACAGCCGGCTGAACCTTCTTAAAACCCTTGCTCATCTTTCATGGGGAGCTGATCGTCGAACCCTCCTCCGCCTGCATTCCACCCTTATTTTATCGAAACTTGATTATGGTGACCAGATCTATTCAGCGGCATCTCCTGCTACTCTCTCGCTTAACCCCATTCTCCCCAAAGGATTACGTTTTCCCTTTGGGTTTTTCTTTGCTCTTCCCCTGTTGGACCTCTAAAACAGAAGCGAACGTTCCTCCATCCGATCGCCGTGTGCCCTTGCCTGGCTATATGTACGCTTCTGATCTCTGCAACCCTTTCCCATTTATAAAGGCCTGATATTAGGACTTCTTTATTTGTTCGCCCCCCTGTTTACTCCTTCCCTTCTCTCTTCGCCTTCATTCGCTTTGTTTTCTCTTCAGCTACCACCTTTCTTGCATGTAGCATCTCACTTTTCCCTACCCCCCTGGGAATTCCCAGCGTTCGGTCTTTTCTTTCTCCCCCTGCTCGAAAGCCCAACTGTCTATGGTCCCCCCCCCGCTCTTTTTTCTTGCCCACTTTCACTCTACTCATCCCTTCCGTGACACAGAGGCTCTAAGTCTTCTGACGGCGTAGGATTCCGCGCAGTGTTTCCGGGGACGGTCGTACAAGGGTATTTACTATTTGGAGTTTTTTTTACTGCTGAATTGTATGCCACCCTTTAAAGCATTATCCGTATTGCATCTCCCTTGTATCTTTTTGTGATTGTTCAGACTCCCTTAGTGCTTTACAGGCTATAAAAAAATTTAACACCTCCCCCCTTTAGTCCCCGATCCAACTTTGGCTACCCCGCATCTTTACCAAGATAAAGTACTGTTTTTTTTTGGGCCCCTTCTGTTCGTACGGGGCAATGAACAGGCAGACCTGCTGCGGGGTTTCAGCAGTACAGACCTCCCCAGTTTTTTTAGGGTATTTTTTTCCATTTGGCTATTTTGCTCAATTTTTCCCCTTCACACCCTTTGGAAACAACTTTGGTTACATCTGGGCAACAAACTTCATCTATAAACCCGAGTATAGGTTACGGGCCGTTCTTCTTATCACCAGTGTCGGGGTTGGGAGACACCTTCCCGTCTTCGCATTGGCCATACTTGTCTTACTCTGGATATTCATGGAGACTCCTGCTCCTCTCGGAGAATTGCAAGCTCCATTATCAGTCAGCCACATTCTGTTGGACTGCCCCTTTATCAAGAGCACGCAGAATTTACCTCTGTCGCGTTTCGTTGCTGCTTCTCTTTCCCTTTCCCTTTCCGCTAAAGGGACCCACCTTTCATCGGACTCTTCATTGATTTTTTGAAAACAATGATTACTTCAAAATTCTAAAACCCTTCAGCTTTTTCTACTTCAATCTCTTGAAAACCCTCTCCCCCCGTACTATCCCCTGCCCCGCTTTTTTCTGTAACCTCTGATCATCCCTCCCCCTTCTCCCACCAATATCTCGTTCCCTTCCCTACCCTGCAGCGCTGTATGCCCTTTTGGGGCTTAGCGCTTTTTTTTGATTATAAAAATTTAAATAAATTTCGTCGGGAAACAAAATTTTTCCTGACATGGGCCCGGGGTGATGCCCCGCAGTGAAGTTTTGGTCTTGACCGGGGCCTTCCGCTCCCCTTAGGGCCCCCACCCCCCTTTAAAAATTAGGGTCACCTTTTCTATCATGTGAAATTAAGACAATGTGCAACTTTGGGGTATTTTTATTGTAGACGTTTCCCCATCCAGGGGCTTTATCAATCCCAAATTTGGAAAAACTTAAAGACAGTAGAATATGTACAGAAGATGAGGTAATCTTTCCCTCAACCTGGGAGAGGTGCGAAGAGCCCTAGTCGGGAGATCTCAAATCTCACGACTATGGAGGGGCCCTGACTCGACTTGTCCCCTTTTTTTTGTGTCACAACTCCCCCTCAAGGAAAGGTTCCTTGATGCTGGTGAGGGGCTCTTGATCTAGGGAATTTGGGGAACTGTGCTCCAGTTCCCTGAATTAAACCTGAATTTTCCACCCCCCCCCCACAGGCGTTTTTGTCCTAGGGTTTAGCGTTTCCCCCTTGTTATAAAAATGTCAAAGTGTTTTACAATACAAAACTTGGATATATAACTCCTAGCGCCCTTCCAGCCCTTTTTTTCCCCTTGCCTCTGATCCGCTTTTATTGGGGGAAATGTTTTTATCTCCTGCAGCCGTTAAATTGAAGAATTGAGACATTTATGCAGCATAGGGAATCTTTATTTAAGAAAACGTTTTCCCACCATTGGCTTTCATCCAAAGTAAAGCAGGAATAGATTCCCAATGTTTTCATAAGTGTCTCAATTCTTCAACTTAGTCATTATTTTTACTTCCCGGTTACGTTCCTTCCGTGTTTCAGAAATCTGGGATTTTTGAGGACTCGGTTATTTTTCCCCTTCTCTTACAGAGGGGGCGTCTTCCTCCAGTGTTTTTCATGTGCAAGTTTTTATATAATCCTTCTATATAAGAATATGAAACAACCCGTGAAAAAAAAAAAGAATTTTAAACGCATTGTGATTTCTCACATTTTCAAGGAATGTTATAAATGTGGAAAACTAAAGCACTTAGAATTCTATTTTTTTTTTTAAAAAGTGGTTTTTTCTGCTATATATATATATATAAAAATATATTAAATATATATATATATATATATATATATATATATATATATATATTTTATATAAAAACATACTACATACATACTAAACATATATACATAGATACACATACATATATAACGATTTGACTTTTAATTCTTATTTAGGAATAAAGTAAAACTCTGGTGATACCTAAAGTAATACTCTTTTAAAGATGCTCCCTTCAAGGAAGGGTTTCCCTTTATGTTGGTGAGGGGGTCTTGATTTAGGGAAATTTGGGTCTGGCTCCAGTTCCCCCAAAAAAACCCGAATGCCTTCCCATCCCCCCCCCCCCGGCGCTGTATAATCCTCCGGGGTTTAGCGCTTCCCCCTTGTTATAATAATAATTTAATGATGTCAGTGATCGAGGGGATTAATTTAAACCCCAACAACCTTAACCACGTGGTGTGCCACCTCATAACCCTTGTGCCACCAAAAAACTGACCCCCCCCCCCCCCAAAAAAAAAAAAAAAAAAAAAAAAAAAGCCGGATAAACCTCGGCGAGGTTTTGTGAGGCAACGGAGGTCATCTTGGACCCCATTTCTTTAAATTCTTTTTTACCCGAACTGTAGCAAGAAACTGATGATATATTCCTGTCACTGCTGATAGCTTATGGGTTTGGACAGTTGTACAGACGTCCCTTTGGGGAAACCTGAAGTGAGGAAATGGTTGGTACATGGTAGGGTGTTGCGACATTGCTGTGTTGGTACCAATCCCTTTATCCACCTTACTCACTGCTACTAATATTTCATTTCACTACGTTTGTAAGGTGAGTCCTCCCGATTATTACTTTAAATAACAGTTAATTTTGTATGAATTCGATAAAAGGGCCCCATGGAAATAAGTCATTTTTTTTTTTTGGGGGGGGGGGGGGTTTTCTTTGGTTCTCTGTGCTGTGTATGATAATCATGAATACAAAAATAACTATATTTATGTTACCTAAATAACCTTAGTAAGGTTATAAAAGGCTGAGAGATGTGGTTTTCCCGGGAGTGTGTTATTGAAGGTTTAATCTTATTTTAAGTGTTATTTTTTATTGATGAATATGTTCATGGAGCTTTATGACCCTCAGTGTGGGGTCATAGTCTTTAACCAGTTAACAAATAAGTGAAGAATATAAAGTTTTTTCAGTATTTCTCGGGCACTTTCCAGATGTGTCCCCCGAATCCCCTATAATCCATAAAACTAAAAAACTCGCAATTTATGATTTATTTTAAACCCTGTAAAACCACAGTGTTTAAACTTATAATATTAATAAATTTAGTTTTTTTTGTTGCGTTTTTAAAAATGCAAATTGAATCATTTGCTATTCTTGTTTATAGACTGTATATACTTATTGCAGATGACCTATACTAGTTTAGCAGTTTTCTTGAAAATACTTATGTAATTTGTGTAGATATAAACTTTTTTAGCCTATTGGTCTGTGATACTTCCATGGTCATTCAAAACTCAAAATTCCAATTTTTATTTCTTTGCAAAGTTTAGTGTGTGACTGACAGGTTTTTTAAAGGGAGTATTTCCATGCATAGTTTACAATGTTTAAAAACTTTGGAGTCCAGTCCCTGGACCCATTATGTACCTCTGTAATCTTTTGACTACCGCCCACAGGATGGGTATGGGGTGCATAATAAACATATTAAACTAACTAATTACAATATTGATTTTCAAGTGCAAAGAAAGCCACTATCATGCCGAGGCATTATGGTCATGGTAGTGTGTATCTAGTGGTCAATGGTACTAAAGAAATATGTAAAACTATTTCTTTAGTACCTAACATTGCCTCCCAAATCAAAATCAAATCAAAATTTTATTTCTTTGCTAAGGTTACAATGTGTATTTACATTTCATAATTTGATTGATACAAAGAAAGTCACTATCATGCCAAGGCATTTTGGGCAGACTTAACCTAATATTAATAGACTACTTTAGTCTAGACAGGTGAAGAGTGGTAGAATACAGATATTCAATATTTTACTCTATTATTAATATGAGGTGCTAGTACACTATGATACAAACATACATCCCTTCATGTGGGATTGCCTTGATACTGGTGAAGGCCTCTTGATCCAAGGAATTGGAACTACCATCCATTTGGACCAAACCTCATTACCTCATTTTCCCATATTCCTAGTATATCTCCTTTATAGTATAATAATAAGGTATTAAAAGGACCCCAGTGGAAATAAGTCACTCTGTCTGACCTTTTTTTTTTTGGGTTATCCCAGGTTCTCTACACATGCTGCTATGTATGATAATCTATGTAACTATATTTGTGTATACCTAAATAAACTTACCTCCAATTTCCCAAGTGTTGTATGACAATTTGGATTTAATGCATCCTAGCCAAATTTTACCTAGCCTAATCCTTTCCAAACCCTGCCCAAACCCTAATGGAAATAAGTCACTGACTTTTTCTTTGGGTTATCCTAGGTAATTTACACATATGTTACTATGCATGATAATTTGTGTAACTGTATTTATGTGTACCTGTATGTAAATCAAATCAAATCAAATCAAGTTTATTCTTTATAAGGATTACAATGCTGAGTTTACAGAATTTGGATATTGTGTGGTTTACATGTTTTAAAATACTAATTACAGTGGGGGCCACTAGAACACCTAGCATGGCTAGGCATTTTGGGCAGACTTAGATTAATTCTTAACTTTAAAATATTACAAATTATGAGGCAAGTTGGTATTATGGCTAAGTGACTAAATACAGTTTGTGAGTTTAGCACAATACATAGTTTCAGTATTGGAGTATCACAGGCCAACTTATGACTAGATGGGATTCATTATTTTAAGATTAAGATTGATATTTCTGTGTTTATGGTCAAATGGGTGAGCGAGTGTAAGTGTGAACCACCAGGTGGTATTCATGTAATTAGTTGACGGGGTGTATCAGGGAGATAAGATGTTTTCTAATGGTAGTTTTGAAGGTGTTGAATGTGTCTGCAGTTCTAGAGTTGTTAGGGAGGGTGTTCCAGATTTTAGGGTCTTTGACATACATTGAATTTTTGTAAAGGTTTAGTCGGACACGGGGAATGTCATAGAGATGTTTGTGTCTGGTGTTATGCCTGTGGGTTCTGTCACAACTATCAAGAAAGCATTTTAGGTCAAGGTTAATATTGGAATTTAAGGTCCTGTAGATGTAGATTGCACAGTAGTAAGTGTGGATGTACTGAACAGGGAGTAAGTTTAGATCTATGAAGAGTGGGGGAGTGTGTTGCCAGGGATGGGATTTAGTGATTATTCTTACTGCGGCTTTTTGTTGGGTTATTATTGGCTTTAGGTGTGTTGCTGCAGTTGATCCCTAAGCACAAATAGCATAGGTGAGGTATGGATAAATAAGTGAGTGGTATAGTGTGAGAAGGGCAGTTTGCGGCACGTAATATCGTATCTTGGAGAGGATCCCAACCGTTTTGGATACTTTTTTGGTTATGTGTTTTATATGGGTGCTGAAATAAACATAACCCTGCCCTGCCCTACTTGCTCTACCATACCATACTCCCTACTTTATTTCACTTAATCTTACCTAACAACTTAATATTTGTGCATTTTCCTTCCAAAACAGCACTTTGGGCTGCATACATCAAGAGATTAGTATATATAAAGTATGTTCATTGGAAACCTATTTTAATTCCTATTATAGGAATCAAAAGCAGCTAGTCTTCATTTTCATTTCCATTTCGATGTTAGTGTTATCTAAACATAATACTGTACTGTAAGAAAATTGCTGTTAAAGGCAAATTTGTATTCTTTGCATACAGTAATTGTTAATTCATTTATTCCCTAAATTTTGATTAACGTTGCCTTTTCTACCATTATAATTTTTCTAATTATAACATATCACTAATCATAATTTTCATTCATATTTCATCCCTTCATAAATACGATACTTCCAAGGATGCTGTGCCCTCTGTCTCCATATTGCTGTTTTTAATCTGTCAGCTTCACTGCAGTTAATTTTTTTAATACACATATGCATTATCAATAGACCCCAGGCTGTCTTCAAGCAGGCACTGGACAGGCACCTAAAGTCAGTGCCTGACCAGCCAGGCTGTGTTTCGTATGTTGGGTTGCGTGCAGTCTACAGTAACAGCCTGGTTGATCAGGCCCTGATCCACCATGAGGCCTGGTGGTGTAAGAATGGTATATAATACCGACAAGTTGAAATTAAGACACATGTGCAACATCTGGGTATCTTTATTGTAGACGTTTTGCCATCCAGTGGCTTCATCAATACAAATTCTAGGACATAACTTGAAGACAGTAGAACTATGTACAGAAGATGAGGTAATCAGTCCCTCAACCTAGGAGTAGGTGCGAAGAGCACCATAGTCGTGGAGATTCTGAAGCAGAAGAAAGGAGCCTGGCGCTTATATAGTAACGTCAGGTGTAGCAGACGAGGGCATAGTCACTGGTAGGCGGGATTCTCCAGCGGAAGTAGGTCCTTCCCAAAGAGATGGGTTAGTTGTAGTAGTAGTTGTCGTAGTCGTGAAGGTTATGTACATGTCCTCAGAATCAAGATTCCATGATGTTGCAGTGTCTGACATGTGTCTTAATTTCATCTTGTCGGTATTATATACCATTCTTACACAACTTGTCAGACACTGCAACATCATGGAATCTTGATTCTGAGGACATGTACATAACCTTCACGACTACGATAACTACTCACCCATCTCTTTGGGAAGGACCTACTTCCACTGGGGAATCCCGCCTACCAGTGACTATGCCCTCGTCTGCTACACCTGACGTTACTATATAAGCGCCAGGCTCCTTTCTTCTGCTTCAGAATCTCCACGACTATGGTGCTCTTCGCACCTACTCCTAGGTTGAGGGACTGATTACCTCATCTTCTGTACATAGTTCTACTGTCTTCAAGTTATGTCCTAGAATTTGTATTGATGAAGCCACTGGATGGCGAAACGTCTACAATAAAGATACCCAGATGTTGCACATGTGTCTTAATTTCATCATGAGGCCTGGTCACAGACAGGGCTGGGGGAGGTGTTAACCCCCGGAACTCTCTCCAGGTATACATACTGTACATATTGCAGTGTATGAGTTAAGTGTTTGTGTACAGATTAAAAAGGCTGTAGATATGTACAACATTTCTGATACTTAAATTAGGACTCAGCTGTAAAGATAATCTTAGTTTTCCTTTTGTTTCTCTCTCTCATATTCTCACACACACTTATGTAATGAATGTGCTCAATTTATTCACCAAAATTTATTTTGTCAAAGAACTCGCACTGATATTAGGTTACATCTTATGTCCACAGTTTGTGCCATGCTGTCAGCTTTTGGTGGAGCTTTTCATATCTGTTGTTTTTCCGCATTTGCCATCACCTTGGCTTGGAGGCAGCCCCGGCACATACCAATGCAGTGCAGATGATGATTACACTTAAGGTACATGGTTTCTTGAACCCTTAATACTTTGATGCTGGTGAGGGGCTCTTGATCTAGGGAATTGGATCTATACTCCAGTTCTCTGAATTGAGTCTGAATACCTTCCATTCCCCGCCCCCCCAAAGGAGCTGTATAATCCCTATGGGTTTAGCACTCTCCCATGATTATAATAATAATTACTACTTTTATGACTATACAAAATTTAGTTTTTGTTCAGTAGAGGTGTAGCTATTAAAGTATGTGATAGCAGAAGGAGAATCTAATCAAAGTCACTCCGTGAAATGAATGAGCTCTATGTAACTAGCATTTCATGTTAATAATGATCTTTTAGATAAATATATTCATGGTCCCATGTGGTTTGGTGAAAATACTGGATCAAAATTGGATTTATCTTTTTGGTCAGGAAATTATTAAATTAAAATTAATGATTGCTACTAGGGTGAGGAATTCTGTATCTTCAGTAAATGACCTTGGAAATGGCATCCTAGGGCAAGTCACCTATAGCTCAGTGATAAGAACCTTTGGCTGTCAAATAAAGGACTTGCATTTGCTTCCTGGGTGGGGTGAGACATAGGGGCAAGTCTTGCACCTGCTGCCATGTACATCTTGTAGTAAATAGATACTGTAGTGTATTTAGGAGTCAGTCAGTTTTTGTGGGTTATGCCCTAGGGGAGAGACCTCAATTAAATGTGAAATCTTAAAAGAAGTGGCAAGAAATCAACACCAGATGTTACCGAGCATTAAGTTGAGACTTTAAATATAATTTATAGGGTTGTGAAGAATTTGTAGAAAAATTGGACGAGATATTGAATCCCCTCTTTTATTAATTTCTAAATTTCCTGATTAATTTTAAAAACTGTACAAATTACAAAGCATTGCTTTGTTATCAGTATAGTAGTCTTGTTATTTTTATTATTTAACATTATTCAGGTAAAAATACTTACCATTCAAGTGATATTGTACCCTTCTTATCACCCAGATGATATTGTACCCTTCTTATCACCCAGATAATATTGTACCCTTCTTATCACCCAGATGATATTGTACCCTTCTTATCACTCAGGTATTATTTTACCCTTCTTATCATCCAGGTGATAACACTATTATTCTTTTCAATTTCTTTTTAACTTAGCAAATTGTATTCATCACCAGTATGATGCTACCTTATTCCTTGTGATAATAACATGGTGGGAATGAAAGTTAGCTCTATTTCTCTGTCATATTCCATCACACAGGGTGGATTTCATATAGTATTGAAATCTTTCAGCCTGAGCTGGGAGACTTTAGTATGGCAATGAGGATATCATCGAGTAATCCATTAAAGGTTCATCAACTATGGGGGCTTCAAAGGTTTTTCACCAGCAAAGCTGGAGTTACTATTACTTGGGAATAACTTAACTTTCAGGATGGCATATGACACACACACACAGCACCTTTATCACTCAGTAATAAGTTATCATTCACATGATAACACTTGGGTTAATCTTTTTTGTATCTTGCTTGCCAACCAACAGTATCAACGATTGATAATTCTTTCATAAACTGTAATATATGTGGACACAGCTTTGACATTGGCAATGAAATCAGATAAGTCAGACTTTTATAATTATTATTAACACGCCGGCCTTTTCCCACCAAGGCAGGGTGGCCGAAAAAGAAAAGCTTTCATCATCATTCCTACACTAGTTACAAAACTGCAACATTAACACCCCTCCTTCAGAGTGTAGACACTGTACTTCCCATCTCCAGGACTCAAGTCTGGCCTGCGGTTTCCCTGAATCCCTTCATAAATGTTACCTTGCTTACACTCCAACAGCACATCAAATCCTAAAAACCATTTGTATCCATGTGCTCCTGTCTAACACGCTCGCACATGCTTGCTGGAAGTCCAAGCCCCTCGCACACAAAACCTCCTTTACCCCCCTCCCTCCAACCTTTCCTATGCCAACCCCTAGGAATGTATACTACTATATATATATACTATATATGGTAGTAGGTTGGTAGACAGCAACCACCCAGGGAGGTACTACCGTCCTGCCAAGTGAGTGTAAAACGAAAGCCTGTGATTGTTTTACATGATGGTAGGATTGCTGATGTCTTTTGTCTGTCTCATAAATATGCAAGATTACAGATATGTCTTGCTACTTGTACTTACACTTAGGTCACACTACACATACATGTACACATTTATTTATACACACTCATCTGAGTTTTCTTGGATTTTATCTTAATAGTTCTTGGTCTTATTACTTTTCCTTTTATATCCATGGGGAAGTGGAATAAGAATCTTTCCTCCGTAAGCCATGCGTGTTGTAAAAGTCAACTAAAATGCCGGGAACAATGGGCTAGTAACCCCTTTTCCTGTAAAGATTACTAAAAAGAATAAGAAGAAGAAAATTGTCAAAGTGGGAAGTCTGAATGTGCGTGGATGTTGTGCAGATGATAAGAAAGAGATGATTGTGGATGTTATGAATGAGAAGAAGCTGGATGTCCTGGCTTTAAGTGAAACAAAGCTGAAGGGGGTGGGACAGTTTCAGTGGAGGGGAATAAATGGGATTAGGTCAGGGGTTTCAAATAGAGTTAGAGCTAAAGAAGGAGTAGCAGTAATGTTGAAGGATAAGCTATGGCAGGAAAAGAGGGACTATAAATGTATTAATTCAAGGATTATGTGGAGTAAAATAAAGATTGGATGTGAAAAGTGGGTTATAAGAAGCGTGTATGCACCTGGAGAAGAGAAAAGTGTAGAGGAGAGAGAGAGATTTTGGGAAATGTTGAGTGAATGCGTGGGGAGTTTTGAATCAAGTGTGAGAGTAATGGTGGTTGGGGATTTCAATGCTAAAGTGGGTAAAAATGTTATGGAGGGAGTAGTAGGTAAATTTGGGGTGCCAGGGGTAAATGTAAATGGGGAGCCTTTAATTGAGCTATGTGTAGAAAGAGATTTGGTAATAAGTAACACATATTTTTTGAAAAAGAGGATAAATAAATATACAAGGTATGATGTAGCACGTAATGAAAGTAGTTTATTAGATTATGTATTGGTGGATAAAAGGTTGATGGGTAGGCTCCAGGATGTACATGTTTATAGAGGGGCAACTGATATATCGGATCATTATTTAGTTGTAGCTACAGTTAGAGTAAGAGGTAGATGGGAAAAGAGGAAGGTGGCAACAACAAGTAAGAGGGAGGTGAAAGTGTATAAACTAAGGGAGGAGGAAGTTCGGGTGAGATATAAGCGACTATTGGCAGAAAGGTGGGCTAGTGCAAAGATGAGTAGTGGGGGGGTTGAAGAGGGTTGGAATAGTTTTAAAAATGCAGTATTAGAATGTGGGGCAGAAGTTTGTGGTTATAGGAGGGTGGGGGCAGGAGGAAAGAGGAGTGATTGGTGGAATGATGAAGTAAAGGGTGTGATAAAAGAGAAAAAAGTAGCTTATGAGAGGTTTTTACAAAGCAGAAGTGTTATAAGAAGAGCAGAGTATATGGAGAGTAAAAGAAAGGTAAAGAGAGTGGTGAGAGAGTGCAAAAGGAGAGCAGATGAAAGAGTGGGAGAGGCACTGTCAAGAAATTTTAATGAAAATAAGAAAAAATTTTGGAGTGAGTTAAACAAGTTAAGAAAGCCTAGGGAAAGTATGGATTTGTCAGTTAAAAACAGAGTAGGGTAGTTAGTAGATGGGGAGATGGAGGTATTAGGTAGATGGCGAGAATATTTTAAGGAACTTTTAAATGTTAAGGAAGAAACAGAGGCAGTAATTTCATGCACTGGTCAGGGAGGTATACCATTTTTTAAGAGTGAAGAAGAGCAGAATGTAAGTGTGGGGGAGGTACATGAGGCTTTACGTAAAATGAAAGGGGGTAAAGCAGCTGGAACTGATGGGATCATGACAGAAATGTTAAAAGCAGGGGGGATATAGTGTTGGAGTGGTTGGTACTTTTGTTTAATAAATGTATGAAAGAGGGGAAGGTACCTAGGGATTGGCGGAGAGCATGTATAGTCCCTTTATATAAAGGGAAAGGGGACAAAAGAGACTGTAAAAATTATAGAGGAATAAGTTTACTGAGTATACCAGGAAAAGTGTACGGTAGGGTTATAATTGAAAGAATTAGAGGTAAGACAGAATGTAGGATTGTGGATGAGCAAGGAGGTTTCAGAGTGGGTAGGGGATGTGTAGATCAAGTGTTTACATTGAAGCATATATGTGAACAGTATTTAGATAAAGGTAGGGAAGTTTTTATTGCATTTATGGATTTAGAAAAGGCATATGATAGAGTGGATAGAGGAGCAATGTGGCAGATGTTGCAAGTATATGGAATAGGTGGTAAGTTATTAAATGCTGTAAAGAGTTTTTATGAGGATAGTGAGGCTCAGGTTAGGGTGTGTAGAAGAGAGGGAGACTACTTCCCAGTAAAAGTAGGTCTTAGACAGGGATGTGTAATGTCACCATGGTTGTTTAATATATTTATAGATGGGGTTGTAAAGGAAGTAAATGCTAGGGTGTTCGGGAGAGGGGTGGGATTAAATTTTGGGGAATCAAATTCAAAATGGGAATTGACACAGTTACTTTTTGCTGATGATACTGTGCTTATGGGAGATTCTAAAGAAAAATTGCAAAGGTTAGTGGATGAGTTTGGGAATGTGTGTAAAGGTAGAAAGTTGAAAGTGAACATAGAAATGAGTAAGGTGATGAGGGTGTCAAATGATTTAGATAAAGAAAAATTGGATATCAAATTGGGGAGGAGGAGTATGGAAGAAGTGAATGTTTTCAAATACTTGGGAGTTGACGTGTCGGCGGATGGATTTATGAAGGATGAGATTAATCATAGAATTGATGAGGGAAAAAAGATTAGTGGTGCGTTGAGGTATATGTGGAGTCAAAAAACGTTATCTATGGAGGCAAAGAAGGAATGTATGAAAGTATAGTAGTACCAACACTCTATATGGGTGTGAAGCTTGGGTGGCAAATGCAGCAGCGAGGAGACGGTTGGAGGCAGTGGAGATGTCCTGTTTAAGGGCAATGTGTGGTGTAAATATTATGCAGAAATTCGGAGTGTAGAAATTAGGAAAAGGTGTGGAGTTAATAAAAATATTAGTCAGAGGGCAGAAGAGGGGTTGTTGAGGTGGTTTGGTCATTTAGAGAGAATGGATCAAAGTAGAATGACATGGAAAGCATATAAATCTATAGGGGAAGGAAGGCGGGGTAGGGGTCGTCTCGAAAGGGTTGGAGAGAGGGGGTAAAGGAGGTTTTGTGGGCAAGGGGCTTGGACTTCCAGCAAGCGTGTGTGAGCATGTTAGATAGGAGTGAATGGAGACGAATGGTACTTGGGACATGACGATCTGTTGGAGTGTGAGCAGGGTAATATTTAGTGAAGGGATTCAGGGAAACCGGTTATTTTCATATAGTCGGACTTGAGTCCTGGAAATGGGAAGTACAATGCCTGCACTTTAAAGGAGGGGTTTGGGATATTGGCAGTTTGGAGGGATATGTTGTGTATCTTTATATGTGTATGCTTCTAAACTGTTGTATTCTGAGCACCTCTGCAAAAACAGTGATAATGTGTGAGTGTGGTGAAAGTGTTGAATGATGATGAAAGTATTTTCTTTTTGGGGATTTTCTTTCTTTTCTGGGTCACCCTGCCTCGGTGGGAGACGGCCGACGTGTTGAAAAAAAAAAAAAATATCCAACACCATATGCCATTCCATATCCTGCACAATACTATGTGCCTGTGCTTAATAATTAAGTCTAATAAAAAAAATTGCATTTTATACTTTTATGCTTGCTCCTAACACTGTAACAAGGCCTTTACTCTATTTGTTATAAATTTCTAAACCTCACGTATAATAATGTAGCTTTCGCAAACAAAATTACCATTGTCATATGTTTTGTTAACCATTATGGATTTAGAGCTTGAGAGATCCATTGAACCGTAGAAATAACAAAGGGAAAAAAAAGTTGGGTGATGCATTGAGTCATCTGTGGAGAGAAAGAACTTTATCTATAGTGGCAGAAAGAGAAATGTACCAGAGTACAGTTGTACCAATACTGTTGTGCGAGTGTGAATCATTGGTTTTGAATGTTAGAGTGAGGAGAAGGCTGAAGGGCAGTAGAGATGTGTTGAGGGGAAATGTGTGGTGTGAATATTATGCAGAGAATTCACAGTTTGGAGATTAGGAATAGGTGTGGAGTTACCAAAAGGATTATTGAGAGGGCTGAGGAGGCAGTTGTTGAGGTGGTTTGGACATTTAGAGAGGATGGAGAAAAATAGGACTGGAGGGTGTATAAATCTAGGGTGGAAGGAAAGAGGGAAAGGGGTCAGCTTAGGAAAGGTTGGAGGGAGGGGCAAAGGAGGTTTTGAGAGCTAGGGCTTTGGACATCCAGCAAGCTTGTGTGACCATCATAGATAGGAGTGAGTGAAGCAAGTGGTTTTTATGGTTCGATGTACTGTTGTAATGTAAGCAAGGTAACATGAAAGGATTCTAGGAAACCAATTAGCTGAACTGAAGTCCTGGAGGTGGGAAGTGCAATGCCTTCTTTCTGAAGGAGGGATGGCTGTGTTGCAGTTTGGAGGATCATCTGAACTGTGATGTCATTGCCCTTCTGGCAAGACTAATTGAATGAGTGACAGTAAATTTTTTTTTTTCGGGTCACCCTGTCTCAGTGGGAGATGACTAGAGTATTAAAAATAATAATAGGGATATGTTTTGTGTGATCAGCAAAAATGACCTAAATAGGAAAAGGATAGACATTGTATTAAATATGATAAGGAGTTAAAATGAGGATGAAACTATAGAGCTACTTGCAAACTTCTGAAGAATATGTCATGTTACTTTGTAATAATGTATAGCGTTGCACAGAACAATTCAGATGTTGCTCTTTAGCAACTCATAAAATTTAATCTCGCAGTTGATTGGTGTGTGCTTTGAAGTTCATGATACTTGGAGAAAACGTGGAGAAGCAAAGAAAAACGATGATGAGAAGAGAGCACAGCTGGAATTAGAGTTGAAATACGAGGAGGTTGACCCATCCCCAATGGACATCTTTCATTATGCTTTCTGCTATATTGGTGTCCTCACAGGTATTGTACATGTATTTAGAGATTATCCAAATGGCTGTGTTTTTCTTGATTTTCATATTACAGTTTGAAATACCTACTTGGGATTGTGTTTCTTCATATTTCTGATAAATTATTAACTACAAAAATTTTTGGCTAGGTCCATATTATAAGTACAGAGTGTATGAAGATATGTTGCAAGGGTCACCTGTCAGCAGTGGACTGGATTGCTTACAAGCGACGCTGCGTAGAATATGGGTAGTGCCACTGTATGGAACTGCATTCCTAGCCTCTGATTACTTCTTTCCTCTGTCAGTAAGTGTTTTAATAAAATCGAGATTATCCTCGCCATGTTTCTGTTTACTGCTTACTTTGCCATATTTTTGTGTTATAAAAAGTACTGTAATTTGAAATTTCAAATGTACAGTGAGATTTATACAAGACTAACTACAACGAAAGTATGTAAGATCAGGACTTGTTATTGGTGGAGCAAAGAAAAAGAGAGTTAAGTGATCATGACACAAAATATTATGTAGCACAGACATGATAGACAAGCATAGGCTCTTTTTGAGGAGTGCTGTAAGAATAAGGGATCAAGGTATAAAATGATATATGTAATTGAGTCATAGGGGCTCAAAAATAAATATAACAGGACTCGCTTGTCGGTCATGAAGCAGCATCGAGAGATCATGCTGAACCCCACAAACTCTAATGGTTAAAGTAATTTCCATTAGGTACAGTAATTGCAGACTTCATAGAAAAAACAATTGGTACCTCTTCACTGACCTAACAATTAAGATAAAACTGCATTTACAGTTTGCTGAAGATGAGGTGATCTTCAAAGATTATGGCTTTTTCTATCGTATATGGTACATGACTCCAGTGTTCTTCAACTTCCGCATGCGCATATATGCTGGCTTTGTCCTCTCGGAGTGTGTGTGCATCATGGCAGGGCTTGGAGCATACCCAGTAGCATGCGAGCCCAAACCTGGTCGTGGCCCTAGCAAATATGAGGCACTGGAAGTAAGGTGAGTGGTGGTGGTTTACTTACAACAATGTTGAGTAGTTTTCTATCTAAATCTAATAGTGTGCACAGTAGGCTAATGTTATGGCTATTGACCTTAAAGGAGGTTGACTTAAGCCTGTTAAGTCAGGAATATAACTAGAATTATGATCCGGCTTATAGCTTGTTGCAATTAAAAAAAAAATGCTCTCAGGATCCAACACTCACATGTATGATTAAACAATTTCTGCTCAAAGCTAAAACTATGTGGGTCATTCAACACTGCATTTCATAGGCAAGACTAACTTTAGAGGGAAAGAGGTAGATGTGAAGGTTGAGAACATGGACACAAAAAGGAAGGTACAGTCAGTGCAATAAATCAGTTTCGCTTAAAATATAGAGATAATTTGCATTAAAGATAGTAGAGTAGGAATATCAAAGCACTGTTGGACTCTCAGTGTGACCTAGCAATTTTTTTACATCACCATTGGGCACTAGTGGCATAGCTAGGGGAAAGAGAGGGCAGCAGAAGGAGGAGTTGCCTCCCCAGAAAACATTTGAGGCTTTTTTTTTTTTTACACCCTTGCCTTTTTTCAGCTGTACTAACTGGAGGGCTGTATTTTTATTTCCAACATGAAATATGATATGTACTTACTGTAAAACCATGCTTTAAAAATAGTTTATGCACAGCATAATCAATTCAGTTTTCAACAATAAAAATTGAAGGGAGGTATTGAACATTGCAGATCTGAGAAAGAGTCAACCAAAGTTGAATATAACTTTGAAACTATCCATAATATTGATGAGTTTGGAGCAGACTTCACCCCAACTGTTCGTGCTGGCATGCGTTGCTGGAACATGACTGTGCAGTTCTGGCTTGCCAGCAATGTATACAAACGTCTCAAACTGGCCAGGCCAGTTAGGTGGGTGGACTCTTGTTTTTACTCTGTGAAGACCTACTCAATAGAATCATTATGAAATCATTAATAATATTACTGATTGTTAAATTTGTGTAGTTTTTAATTGCTGTATCAGTGTTGTGAATCCATTCATGTTCTTCTTTCAACAAGCCAGCCATATCCCACCAAGGCAGGGTGGCCTAGAAAGAAAAACAAAAGTTTCTCTTTTTAACATTAGTAATGTATATAATAGAAAGGGTTACTAGCCCCTTGCTCCCAGCATTTTAGTTGCCTTTTACGACACACATGAGTTACAGAGAAAGAATTCTGTTTCACTTCCCCATGGAGATTGAAGGAAATAAACAAGAACAAGAACTAGTAAGACAATAGAAAAAATCCATAGGGGTGCGTATATATATGCTTGTAAATGCATGTATAGTGTGACCTAAGTGTAAGTAGAAGTGGCAAGGCTTACCTGAAATTTTGCATGTTTCTTTCTTTCAACACAACGGCCGTATCCCACCGAGGCGGGGTAGCCCAAAAGGAAAAATGAAAGTTTTTCCTTTTACATTTAGTAATATATACAGGAGAAGAGGTTACTAGCCCCTTGCTCCCAGCATTTTAGTTGCCTTTTACGACATACATGGCTTACGGAGGAAGAATTCTGTTCCACTTCCCCATGGAGATTGGAGGAAATAAACAAGAACAAGAACTAGTAAGACAATAGAAAAAATCCATAGGGGTGTGTATATCTTTCTTTCAACACACCGGCTGTATCCCACCAAGGCAGGGTGGCCCAAAAAGAAAAACGAAAGTTTCTCTTTTAAATTTAGTAATTTATACGGGAGAAGGGGTTACTAGCCCCTTGCTCCCAGCATTTTAGTCGCCTCTTACAACACGTGGCTTACGGAGGAAGAATTCTGTTCCACTTCCCCATGGAGATTGGAGGAAATAAACAAGAACAAGAACTAGTAAGACAATAGAAAAAATCCATAGAGGTGTGTGTATATATATGCTTGTAAATGCATGTATTATATATATATACATACATCTAGGTTTTTCTCCTTTTTCTAAATAGCTCTTGTTCTTTTTTATTTCTTCTATTGTCCATGGGGAAGTGGAAAAGAATCTTTCCTCCGTAAGCCATGCGTGTCGTATGAGGCGACTAAAATGCCGGGAGCAATGGGCTAGTAACCCCTTCTCCTGTATACAATTACTAAAAAAGAGAAGAAGAAAAACTTTATAAAACTGGGTTGCTTAAATGTGCGTGGATGTAGTGCGGATGACAAGAAACAGATGATTGCTGATGTTATGAATGAAAAGAAGTTGGATGTCCTGGCCCTAAGCGAAACAAAGCTGAAGGGGGTAGGAGAGTTTCAGTGGGGGGAAATAAATGGGATTAAATCTGGAGTATCTGAGAGAGTTAGAGCAAAGGAAGGGGTAGCAGTAATGTTAAATGATCAGTTATGGAAGGAGAAAAGAGAATATGAATGTGTAAATTCAAGAATTATGTGGATTAAAGTAAAGGTTGGATGCGAGAAGTGGGTCATAATAAGCGTGTATGCACCTGGAGAAGAGAGGAATGCAGAGGAGAGAGAGAGATTTTGGGAGATGTTAAGTGAATGTATAGGAGCCTTTGAACCAAGTGAGAGAGTAATTGTGGTAGGGGACTTGAATGCTAAAGTAGGAGAAAACTTTTAGAGAGGGTGTGGTAGGTAAGTTTGGGGTGCCAGGTGTAAATGATAATGGGAGCCCTTTGATTGAACTTTGTATAGAAAGGGGTTTAGTTATAGGTAATACATATTTTAAGAAAAAGAGGATAAATAAGTATACACGATATGATGTAGGGCGAAATGACAGTAGTTTGTTGGATTATGTATTGGTAGATAAAAGACTGTTGAGTAGACTTCAGGATGTACATGTTTATAGAGGGGCCACAGATATATCAGATCACTTTCTAGTTGTAGCTACACTGAGAGTAAAAGGTAGATGGGATACAAGGAGAATAGAAGCATCAGGGAAGAGAGAGGTGAAGGTTTATAAACTAAAAGAGGAGGCAGTTAGGGTAAGATATAAACAGCTATTGGAGGATAGATGGGCTAATGAGAGCATAGGCAATGGGGTCGAAGAGGTATGGGGTAGGTTTAAAAATTAGTGTTAGAGTGTTCAGCAGAAGTTTGTGGTTACAGGAAAGTGGGTGCAGGAGGGAAGAGGAGCGATGGTGGAATGATGATGTAAAAGAGAGTAGTAAGGGAGAAAAAGTAGCATATGAGAAGTTTTTACAAAGTAGAAGTGATGCAAGGAGGGAAGAGTATATGGAAAAAAGAGAGAGGTTAAGAGAGTGGTGAAGCAATGTAAAAAGAGAGCAAATGAGAGAGTGGGTGAGATGTTATCAACAAATTTTGTTGAAAATAAGAAAAAGTTTTGGAGTGAGATTAACAAGTTAAGAAAGCCTAGAGAACAAATTGATTGTCAGTTAAAAATAGGAGAGGAGAGTTATTAAATGGAGAGTTAGAGGTATTGGGAAGATGGAAGGAATATTTTGAGGAATTGTTAAATGTTGATGAAGATAGGGAAGCTGTGATTTCGTGTATAGGGCAAGGAGGAATAACATCTTGTAGGAGTGAGGAAGAGCCAGTTGTGAGTGTGGGGGAAGTTCGTGAGGCAGTAGGTAAAATGAAAGGGGGTAAGGCAGCCGGGATTGATGGGATAAGATAGAAATGTTAAAAGCAGGTGGGGATATAGTTTTGGAGTGGTTGGTGCAATTATTTAATAAATGTATGGAAGAGGGTAAGGTACCTAGGGATTGGCAGAGAGCATGCATAGTTCCTTTGTATAAAGGCAAAGGGATAAAAGAGAGTGCAAGAATTATAGGGGGATAAGTCTGTTGAGTGTACCTGGTAAAGTGTATGGTAGAGTTTATAATTGAAAGAATTAAGAGTAAGACGGAGAAATAGGATAGCAGATGAACAAGGAGGCTTTAGGAAAGGTAGGGGGTGTGTGGACCAGGTGTTTACAGTGAAACATATAAGTGAACAGTATTTAGATAAGGCTAAAGAGGTCTTTGTGGCATTATGGATTTGGAAAGGCGTATGACAGGGTGGATAGGGGGGCAATGTGGCAGATGTTGCAAGTGTATGGTGTAGGAGGTAGGTTACTGAAAGCAGTGAAGAGTTTTTACGAGGATAGTGAGGCTCAAGTTAGAGTATGTAGGAAAGAGGGAAATTTTTTCCCAGTAAAAGTAGGCCTTAGACAAGGATGTGTGATGTCACCGTGGTTGTTTAATATATTTATAGATGGGGTTGTAGAGAAGTAAATGTGAGGGTCTTGGCAAGAGGCGTGGAGTTAAAAGATAAAGAATCACACACAAAGTGGGAGTTTGTCACAGCTGCTCTTTGCTGATGACACTGTGCTCTTGGGAGATTCTGAAGAGAAGTTGCAGAGATTGGTGGATGAATTTGGTAGGGTGTGCAAAAGAAGAAAATTAAAGGTGAATACAGGAAAGAGTAAGGTTATGAGGATAACAAAAAGATTAGGTGATGAAAGATTGAATATCAGATTGGAGGGAGAGAGTATGGAGGAGGTGAACGTATTCAGATATTTGGGAGTGGACGTGTCAGCGGATGGGTCTATGAAAGATGAGGTGAATCATAGAATTGATGAGGAAAAAGAGTGAGTGGTGCACTTAAGAGTATGTGGAGACAAAGAACTTTGTCCTTGGAGGCAAAGAGGGGAATGTATGAGAGTATAGTTTTACCAACGCTCTTATATGGGTGTGAAGCGTGGGTGATGAATGTTGCAGCGAGGAGAAGGCTGGAGGCAGTGGAGATGTCATGTCTGAGGGCAATGTGTGGTGTGAATATAATGCAGAGAATTCGTAGTTTGGAAGTTAGGAGGAGGTGCGGGATTACCAAAACTGTTGTCCAGAGGGCTGAGGAAGGGTTGTTGAGGTGGTTCGGACATGTAGAGAGAATGGAGCGAAACAGAATGACTTCAAGATGTATCAGTCTGTAGTGGAAGGAAGGCGGGTAGGGGTCGGCCTAGGAAGGGTTGGAGGGAGGGGGTAAAGGAGGTTTTGTGTGCGAGGGGCTTGGACTTCCAGCAGGCATGCGTGAGCGTGTTTGATAGGAGTGAATGGAGACAAATGGTTTTTAATACTTGACGTGCTGTTGGAGTGTGAGCAAAGTAACATTTATGAAGGGATTCAGGGAAACCGGCAGGCCGGACTTGAGTTCTGGAGATGGGAAGTACAGTGCCTGCACTCTGAAGGAGGGGTGTTAATGTTGCAGTTTAAAAACTGTAGTGTAAAGCACCCTTCTGGCAAGACAGTGATGGAGTGAATGATGGTGAAAGTTTTTCTTTTTCGGGCCACCCTGCCTTGGTGGGAATCGGCCGGTGTGATAATAAAAAAAAAAAATAAATAATAAATGCATGTATAGTGTGACCTAAGTGTAAGTAGAAGTGGCAAGGCTTACCTGAAATCTTGCATGTTTATGCTACAGAAAAAAGACACCAGCAATCCCACCATTATGTAAAACAATTACAGGCGTCCATTGTACACCCACTTAGCAGGACAGTAGAACCTCCCTGGGCAGTTGCTGTCTACCATCCTACTACCTAGGTTATTTATTTATTTATTTATATACAAGCCTTTTCCCACCATGGTAGGATTACCCAAAGGAGACAACACTTTTACCATCACTGACTTCTAGCTGTCTTTGAAGAAGTGCATGACATTAATCACAGTTCAAATACCCAGTGAGCTGCTTTCCTGCATTCACTCTAACCTAAGACTTATGAACCGTAAGCACTTAAATCTCAACAGGGAGGCACTGACAATGCTGGCTTCTGCATACTGGCATGGAGTGTATCCAGGTTATTACCTCTCCATGTTGACTGTGCCATTTATCCTGGCCGTGGAAGACTACTTTGACCGCCTCGTCAGGAGGAGACTCGGAGATTCTGTATGTAAACGGTTTATGCAGAAAATGTTGTAGTTTAGAATGTAGATGTACCCAAGAAAAAATACAGATGAAGCATCAAAAGCATAGTGTAAAAATTTATGACAATAATAACTACTGGAGAACTAATTTTTCTTCTTAGCACCTAGTATGAAACTTAAAAGAAAAAGCCTATTAAAGATAAGATTAATTGACCAGGTCAATTTATGTCACAAAGGGCCAAGAATTGCACTTCATTTTTGTGTAATTAATAGTTGAGAGATAATGTAGGAGCCACTTTTACACTCCACCATTATGTGAAACCCTATGTAATAATGAATGAATAATAAGTAGAAGACAACATGTGATGATGGTAGAGAATGAAAGTGGAAAATGTATATATATAGAGAAAAAACTATGTTGAATCAATATTTCAGGGCAAGTATGCCTATGACTGGTTTGCCTGGTTCGTCAAGATGCAGAACTTCGCTTACATGGGCATGGCTTTCCTGCTGCTGCGTGTCGACACTACACTGCATTACTGGCATTCCATAGGCTACATATACCATGGTCTTTTAATCATGATGCACGGCTTTGCTCAGTATGTCAACCTCATCGTCGGCAAGGTCAGTAAAGTAGGCTATATACATAATGTACAACAGACGGGCCCAAAGGGGACAGATGCACACGGGGAAAAGATGCGCAGCACACGGGACGGGGGGAAACAGATACAAATGTGCACACACACAAACTTTACCCACCCCGGAAAACGATTTTACCCCATGTCTGTCTTTAATTCTGTCCCATTTTTCTTTCTTGACTTTTTTGGGCTTTTAACGGGAATTTTTTCGCTTGGGGGCTGTGACCAGATTTTTCCCTGTAATCCCTTTGGTACTTAGTGCACAATTTTTAAACCAATTTTTAAAAAACCCATCGGTGGGGGGAACGACCAAATTTTTGTTGAAAAAAAAAAAAAAAAAAAAATTATATTTTAATATATATATATATATTATATATTTTTTATATATAATATTATATATTATATAATATATAAAATATATATATATTATATATATATATAAAATATTTTTTTACCACCATCTATTTTCTTTGATTTTATTTAAATTTTAGTTTTTGGTCTTAAATTTTTCCTTTTATATCCATGGGGAAGTGGAAAAAAGAATTTTTCCTCCGTAAGCCGCTTTTTGAAAAAGTAAAACTAAAATCCCGGGGAACAATGGGCTAGTAACCCCTTTTCCTGTAAAAAAATTACAAAAAAAGAATAAGAAGAAAAAAATTTTGTCAAAGTGGGAAAAACCCCCAATGGCGTGGGGTGTTGTGCAGATGAAAAAGAAAGAGATGATTGGGAAAGTTATGAAGAGAAGAAGTGGTGTTTCCCGGCTTTTTAAATGAAACAAAACTGAAGGGGGGTGGGGGGAGTTTCAGTGGAGGGAATAAATGGGGAGGTCGGGGTTTTTAAATTTGAGTTTGAGCTAAAGAAGGAGTTGCAAAATGTTGAAGGATAAACATGGCCCGGAAAAGAGGGACTATAAAAGTAAATTTTTTAAGGATTATGTGGAGTAAAAAAAGATTGGAAATTTGGGAAAAATGGGTTTTAATAAGCGGTATGCACCTTTGGGAAGAGAGAAGTGTAAGGAGAAGAGAGAATTTTTTGGGGAAAAGTTGAGTGAATGCGTGGGGGTTTTGAATCAAGGGTTTAGAGTAATGGTGGTTGGGGGTTTTTTGCTAAAGTGGGTAAAAAAGTTATGGGGGGAGGGGTAGGTAAATTTGGGGGAGTGCCAAAGGGGGGTAAATGTAAAAGGGGAGCCTTTAATTGAGCAGTGTAGAAAGAAATTTGGTAAAAAGTAAAACATATTTTAGGGAAAAAAAGGATAAATAAATTTACAAGGTATGAGTAGCACGTAATGAAAGTAGTTTTATTAGAAATTTTGTTTGGTGGATAAAAGGGTTTATGGGGAGGGTCCAGGATTACAGTTTATAGAGGGGGGAACTGATATATTTGGATCATTATTTAGTTGTAAACTACAGTTAAGAGGAGGAGATGGGAAAAGAGGAAGGGGGCAAAACAAGTAAAAGGGAGGTGAAAGTTAAAAACTTTAAAGGGGGGGGAAGTTCGGGGGGAGATATAAGCACTATTTGGGGGAAAGGTGGGCTGTGCAAAGATAGAGGGGGGGGTTTTTAAAGAGGGTTGGAATAGTTTTAAAAAATGCAGTATTGAATGTGGGGCAGAGTTTGGGGTTTATGGGGGGGGGGGCAGGAGGAAAGGGGAAAGTGTTGGGGAAATGATGAAGTAAAGGGTTAAAAAGAAAAAGGGTAGCTTATGGGGGTTTTTACAAAGCAGAAGTGTTAAAAGAAGAGCAGAGTATATGGAGAGTAAAAAAAAGGTAAAGAGAGTGGTGAGAGAGTGAAAAAAGGAGAGCGATGAAGAGTGGGAGAGGCACTGCAAGAAATTTTAATAAAAAAATAAGAAAAAATTTTGGAAAGTGATTTTAAAAAAGTTAAGAAACCCTGGGAAAATAGATTTGTCAGTTAAAAAAAGAGTGGGGGAGTTTAGAGGGGGAGATGGAGGTTTTGGGAAGATGGCGGAAAATTTTGAGGAACTTTTAAATGAAAGGAAGAAACAGGGCAGAAATTTCATGCACTGGTCAGGGGGGTATACCATCTTTTAGGAGTGAAGAAGAGCAGAATGTAAGTGTGGGGGGGGTACGTGAGGATTACGAAAATGAAAGGGGTTTAAAGCAGGGGAAACGAGGGTCATGACAGAAATGTTAAAAGCGGGGGGGGATATAGGTTGGAGTGGTTGGTACTTTTGTTTAAAAAATGTATGAAAGGGGGGAAAGGTACCTGGGATTGGCGAGAGCTGTATAGCCCTTTTTATAAAAAGGGAAAGGGGAAAAAAAGATTAAAAATTAAGGGGAAAAAGCTTACTGAGTATCCAGGAAAAGTGTAGGGTGGGGTTTTAAAATTTGAAAAAATTAGAGGTAAGACGGGAATGTAGGATTGCGGATGACAAGGAGGTTTTAGAGTGGGTGGGGTGTGAATCGGGTTTTCATTGAAGCTATATGTGAACAGTATTTAGATAAAGATGGGAAGTTTTTATTGCATTTTATGGTTTAGAAAGGATTGATAGAGTGGAAGGGGCAATGTGGCAGATGTTGAAAGTATAGGAATAGGTGGTTGTTATTAATGCTGAAAAGATTTTTTATGAGGATATGAGGCTCAGGTTAGGGTGTTTTTTTAGAAAGAGGGAGACTACTTCCCGGAAAAAGTGGGTCTTGCAGGGATGTTAATGTCACCATGGTTGTTTAATATATTTAGATGGGGTTGTAAAAAAAGAAATGCTAGGGGTTTGGGAGAGGGGTGGGTTTAAAATTTATGGGGAACAAATTAAAAAGGGGGAATTGACACATTTTACTTTTGCTTGATACTGTGCTTTGGGAGTTCTAAAGAAAAATTCAAAGGTTAGTGGATGAGTTTGGGAATTGTGAAAAGGGGTTAAAAGTTGAAAGTGAACTAAAAAAGAGTAAGGTGATGAGGGTGTCAAAAAATTTAGAAAAGAAAATTGGATATCAAATTGGGGAGGAGGGTAGGAAGAAGTGAATGTTTCAGTACTGGGAGTTGACGGTCGGCGGATGATTTATGAAGGATGAGGTTAAATCATAAATTGATGGGGGAAAAAAAAGGTGAGGGGTGCGTGAGGTTATGGGATCAAAAAACGTTATTATGGGGCAAAGAAGGGGAAGTTAAAAGTATAGTAGTCCAAACTCTTATATGGGGTAAAGCTTGGGGGTAAATGCACACGGGGGAGACGGTTGGAGGCAGGGGAATGCCCTTTTTTGGGCAAGTGTGGTTTTAAATTTATGCAAAAAAATTCGGAGTGGGGGAAATTAGGAAAGGTGTGGATTTAAATAAAAGTATTAGTCAGGGGGCAAAAAGAGGGGGTTTTGAGGTGGTTTGGTCATTAGGAGAATGGATCACGTAGAAGACTGGAAAGTATAAATCTATGGGGAAGGGAAAGGCGGGGGTAGGGGTCGCCTCAAAAGGGGTTGGGAGAGAGGGGGGGTAAAGGAGGTTTTGTGGGAAAGGGGGGCTTGGCTCCAGCAAGGTGCGTGAGGTGTTAGATAGGAGTGAATGGAGACAAATGGTACTTGGGACCTGACGTCTGTTGGAGGTGAGCAGGGTAATATTTAAAAGGGGATTCGGGAAAAACCGGGTTATTTTCATATAGCGGATGAGTCCTGGAAATGGGAAGTACAATGCCGCACTTTAAAGGAGGGGTTTGGGATTTTGGCATTTTGGAGGGATATTTTGTGTATTTTTAATGTTTATGTTTCTAGACTGTTGTTTTTGAGCACCCTGCAAAAACAGTGATAATGTGCGAGGTGGTGAAAGTGTTGAATGAGAGAAAGTTTTTCTTTTTGGGATTTTCTTTCTTTTTTGGGTCCCCGCCCGGTGGGAGAGGCCGACTTGTTAAAAAAAAAAAAAAAAAAATATATATTACATGTATTTTAAATATAATATATATTATAAATATATATAATATATATATATATATAAAATGTATATATTTATTAATTAATTACAAATATGGACAGAAGATTTAAAGAAAAATTTGTTGTATAAGGGTGGCATATAAGGTACATGTTTGTTCCTGTGTATCACGATTATAAGGCAAAAATCTCACCACCCCTCAGAGTGGGGCGTGGTCCCCCAAAATGCAGCCATTACCCCCCTTTTAACGCCCATGAGCCGCTGGAACAGAAAACTAGCTGCCCTGGGGCCCTAGTTACCCCGTGAGCTTTTTCCCCCGCTCCAAGGAAATTAGATGCCTCTTTTCCCCCTGAGCCAGGGTCTCTGGCCTATGGAACAAACATGTAATGGGGGGCAAGTTTTTCCATATTTTCTAGTTTTTTGGGGCTCCCTGAAACTGGCACTGCCCCCCTTCCTCCCTGGGTTTTGGGTAGGATCGCCCCGGTAAAAAGACATGTTAGTCCCACCCAACTGCCCCTCGTCCGGCTTGAAGGGGGGAATACCAATGGAAGGCTGATTGAAGCAAGGGGGGGGGCCCCTTCGGGGCATCCAGCGTTTTGGAGGGTTTTTTTTGTTAAACCTTAGCTTGAAAGTTTAGGAAATTTTTTTTTTTTTTTTTTTTGCCTTTGCGGATACTGGGCCCTTTTTTCCTTGCTGCTGGAAGGGTTCAAAATTTTTTTTGTATTTAAAAGCTTGTAATTTTTAACAAAAATGCCCGGTAAGGGGGGGAGAAACTTTGTGTATGCCTGTGGCTTATTAGTTTTACATTTTTCCTTTCGGGGAACACCTGAAAAGGGCCGGCAAAGCTTTGTGCAAAGAGCCTATTCGCCGGAGGAGGGGGGGGGGGGTTTCCCCTGGTTGAATGGGGGGTGTCAAAAACAAAATGTATTTTAAAAAAAAAGTTGAAGGGGTTTTTTTTTTTAAAAAAAAAGATTTTGTTTATTTTTTTTTTTTTAAAGGGTTTCTTTATTTTTGGTTGGCGTTTTTTTTGGGGGGGCCCGGGGTTTTTTTTTTTAAGAAAAAATTTTTTCTTTTCAATTTTTAATCATTGATAACCTATGAGGTTTTTCATTTT